TATCTAACATAAGTTAGTTAATATATGTCCTAGAAGTGTTTAAACAAAGGCATATTTGCAAAAGTTGTATTTATGAAGATATCAGTCTGGTGCATAAATTCACTAAAAGTTTGATTGAAATGATTGCTTACATCTGATTTTTGCATAACTTCCTAGGACAGTTATTGTTTACTTTATAAAAGACCTTTAAAATAAAAAAATCATAGCATTTACAAGTTAAATTATCTGTTTTATGACTCAGGGGTAGGCATTTTCCTCTGTTTTTTGCCCCTGGGGCCTCACATTTCCTAATTTTTTTCCCTGTTTCTAGCAATGTGAAATATTTACTACATATTTAGGATAGAACACACTATTGTAAGTTTTACTGAGGTCTTTTTGTAATTCTAGCTTGTACTTTTTTATGCCGCAGTCACAAAAAAGCACATTTAGGCGTTACGGCTTACTTTTGGGTTATCGACAGGACAAAAACACCCCACCAGAAATATTTAGGAAGGATCAATGAGTTGCAATTACTGTGAAGAGTAAATATAAGCACTTCTAAACAATTTAAATTACAAATAGGCATATATAATATGAATTTATTTTGAATTCAGGGCTTTAAGTAAACCAGGTATACTGTAAACTGTGAATTTATGCTGAGTCATCATAGTTAAGGCCCAGGATTTTCTCAATCTTCATGAAATATTTATAAAACTTCATATTTGAGTTAAATTCTTTAAAATCTCTGAGATAAACCAGATTTTGTGAAATTCTGTATGTTCTATTTTTTAACCCTATATAGGTTGCAATTCTGTAAATACAGACAATGCAATTTCCCATAGGAACTCCCTTTGCGGCTAAAACTGTGACACTTTTACTATGAAGTTTCGTGAAAAATAATATCCCAGAACGGAAAGTTTATATGCACTACTATTTTATTCAAAGGTCAAAATATAGGGCTGTGCGGCATATTTTCAACATTTATATGCCCTGAACTTCTAAGAGTTTAAACTTATACTAAAATTCTATACTACCCTTACCTCCATTTTTGGACCTCCTAAGAATTAAAATTTAGCCGCTACCATGTTTATCTATACTGGTTACATTCCCAAGTGATGTCTCTATGAGATGAAACACAGAGATCATCAATGGGAACCAGTACATTAACAAATTAACATACCTATGAATATTAAATATCTCCCCAAAAGAGGCGTGGTTTGAGAAACAGCTGTATTTACAAAGTGCAACCTGTAAACGGTCAAGATCTCCACCCCTACACATATAAATTACTGTTCGTAATTTCAAGAAGATTTGAATGACATACAGGGTCAATCCATAGGCGTCACTAATGCATATCATAAACCAATTTGTACTGGACATTGCCCAATGTCAAGCGACAATGGGAATGATGAATTATTGGAGTTTTGTTTGGTCCGGGTACACAGTTATCGTCCTTTGATTTTCGTTGTCCACGAATATAGTCCCTAGTGTGGACAGTGTGTTACTTGTCGATTTTTTTTATACCCCTTCCAAATTTATTTCTCCATGTTTTATGACTCAAATAGTAAGTAGGGGGGTAAATTGACACTGTAAAAAAATTTGGGTCATGAATTTTAAAGTTAAGTAGTGATTTGGTCCAGCTGAAAAATGTTAAAAATTAGCACTTCGGAAACTATCAAAAGATTTGAAGACCCCCTTAACATGAAATTGTCCATATTTTGAGTTAGAGCCGATGAAGTTTTCTATAATTTTGATATAATTTGTCCCAAAAGTAGTACAACACACTGTAAAAATATTATTGAGAAAGCGCAGGTGGGATTTTTTTAATTTTCATTTATTGTCTAAAAGAAATGCACTACGAAATAACTGTGTACTCGGACCTAAGAGGTGAAATCAGGAAATATAGAATCTGTACTTTGGCAACTTCCCTGAATGATTTAATGGTGTCAATTTATCAAATAGCATAAAACTAAAGGATTTAAACTTTTATTTGATAGAATTTCTGCAAAAATGACTAATTTTGGCATTTTATGGTCAAAATAAGCATTTCATAGCTTTTTCAATTTTGATGCATAAGTGGCATTCTGACTTTCTATCTGACAGGTTTTTATGTGTCAATATTTGTGTTTCTATGCTTCAATCCAGTTGTATTACTCATTTGTGAACTCTGAATCTACAGAAAATAAGATTATCCTGGACAATTTGTGCAAAATGTGTTGTATATATGATCCTCGTCTAACGCCCTGTTTGGATCAAGTTAAATGTGAGGAGCTTGGAACATAAAAGTTGAAGTCCATTATAAAGACCTCACTAAATTTGTATAAAAAGCACTTAACAATGTCTTTTGTACCTGTTTTATGTCACATAATATCTTTCTTTTCTTCTGTAGGATAGCAAGTGGTTCAAATATAAGCCTGTTGAGACTAAAATTGCATGCATGTTTTTCACTAAAAAGTGAAAAATCTTTGTATCAGACCATACTGTCTGCAAAAAAAGTTGAATGCAAGAGTCTTTTTGTGCTCAGATTTATTGTATCATGTCACCTGAGCATAGAAATGATAGAAAAGACACAAAATTTTATTTCCTATAGCTTCAATATGCATTTTTAAATGTAAATATGTGATACGGCCTAAATTGACCCTAAATTATTTTCAGTCTTACTTGGCCTAAGACCCTTTTAAACTAATGTGATATGTTATTTGTAAGTTTTCTTTCCATTTAAAGTACATTAAATACATATGTAAGGATTAATTATAACCAAAAAGCTTTACAAATTTAAAATTGCTGGAAAATATTACATCTTCATGTAAGGCCCCCCTTCATTGGAAAACCTCCATTTTTAGCCACAGGCTCATATAAATTTGACTTTTTAATAATTGTGATAAGTCTGATAAATCAAATGAGTACTCTTTTGCTTTTAATACATAATACATAATATATTAAGGCATTTCAAAAGTATTTTTTTGCAATATTTTAATTTTTTAAGCCCCAAATGTTGATAGTTGAAAATTTTCAATTTTAACGTCTAAATTTAATACGCAAAGTTGAATATAGAATTAGTCATATTGGTTATAATATATATCCTATTGCCATGAAACTTTGTAAGCAGTCTTATAATTTATTAAGCTTTAGTCATACCAAGTTTCAATAAGATTGGTCAACTTTTTCTAACCTATTAGGTCCGGGTACACAGTTATCGTCCTTTGATTTTCGTTGTCCACGAATATAGTCCCTAGTGTGGACAGTGTGTTACTTGTCGATTTTTTTTATACCCCTTCCAAATTTATTTCTCCATGTTTTATGACTCAAATAGTAAGTAGGGGGGTAAATTGACACTGTAAAAAAATTTGGGTCATGAATTTTAAAGTTAAGTAGTGATTTGGTCCAGCTGAAAAATGTTAAAAATTAGCACTTCGGAAACTATCAAAAGATTTGAAGACCCCCTTAACATGAAATTGTCCATATTTTGAGTTAGAGCCGATGAAGTTTTCTATAATTTTGATATAATTTGTCCCAAAAGTAGTACAACACACTGTAAAAATATTATTGAGAAAGCGCAGGTGGGATTTTTTTAATTTTCATTTATTGTCTAAAAGAAATGCACTACGAAATAACTGTGTACTCGGACCGTTTGGGAGACTTCGTAACAGCATCTGTTACAATTATTTCTTGTTACTGATAAGTTTTATAGATTTTGAAATGACATTGTATTAATGATAAATAAAATTTTGGATTTTTTTCTTCTTTTCTTTGGTAAATTGTTTGTAGAATTTTGTGGCAAGTTTGTTTGTTATTCTGTAAAAACTAATTTTCTGAATGCTATATATTTTTTTTTGATGAAGTAAACTCCTTTAAAAACTAAGCTTATATTGTCTATTAATAACATATATTTAGATTTCTGATTTTGGGCCAAGTTTTCAAGTTGGTCCAAATTGGGGTCCAAAATTAAACTGTGTTTGATTTCAACATAAATTGAATATATATAGGGTTCTTTGAAATGCTTAATCTAAACCTGTATTTCTTTTCATTATTAATAAGATAATACCACATTGAGGTCCAAAGAGTCCTAAATTACACTTTTGATTAATTTCATCAAAAATTGAATTCTTTGGTTCTTTGATATGCTGATTCTAACAATGTTTGAGTGTTAAATCATATCTAATTTTAGAGAACTTAGTCATCAATTGTTGTTGTTATTATATTATTGATTATAATTTGAAAAATTGCATCATAACTTATTCTAGAGAACTATTTATCCAGTTTGAGTAATTTCCCTTTGCACAGAAAATATTATGGATAAAATTAACCTGTGTTTCATTTCAACATAAATTAAATATATATAGGGTTCTTTTAAATGCTGAATCTAAACCTGTATTTAAATATTAGATTTTTGGGCCAAGTTTTCAAGTTGGTCCAAATCAGGGTCCAAAATTAAACTTTGTTTGATTCAACAAAAAAATAATTTATGGGGTTCTTTGAAATGCTGAATCTAACCATGTATTGAGAGATTTTGGATTGTGGGCTCCTTTATCAAATTGGTCCTTATTGAGGTCCAAATGGTCTTAAATTAAACTTTTGTCTGATTTCATCAAAATTGAATTCTTGGGGTTCTTTGATATGCTGATTCTAATATGTACTTAGATTTTTTATATTGGACCATAATAGGTATTTAAATGTCCAATTTCAAGTATTTCAGTTCTTAAACCACATTCATTTTGTGTCACAAACCTATGCTGTGTCAAATATGCAATCACAATCCAAATTCAGATATGTTTTAAGCTTAAATGTAGTGTCCATACTTGCTCAACTGTTCAGGGTTCGACCTCTGCAGGAAAATCCGGTTTGCTGTCACTCTGACAGCCTCTTGTTGAGACATGTAGTTTTCTCAAATACTGACTTCATATTATTTAGGTAGGATCAATTAAACTGGTGACTCATTTCAGCTCATCCACTCATATAATTTTAAGGCTAATGCGTATAACAATGCCTATTATTTATATATGCATTATTTCTATCCACAGGAAAGACAGATTTAATTTTTCCTGAGTTAGAGAAGCTAGTGCTGGCATTGTTTATGAAACTTGTTGACACAAACACTCCATTTCACCTTACATTGATGAATATTGCTTTCTGTAATTTGGCAGACAAACCCAAAAATTCAATTCAGAATTTTCTTTCACCAAATAAGTCAGAGACATTAAGTAGAAACAAAATTGAGAAGCAAACAGTAGAAAATGGTTTAATTGATTCAGAGAATATAAACAAATCAAAAAAAGGAATTTTAAGTTTCTTTAAAGCAGCTCAGGACAAGGACAAAACAAAAGAAGCTAAAAGAAGTGAATTTGAAATTCAATCTGGACATGAGAGAAAAAGAAAAAATGAAGGCAGTGTTTCTGAAAACTCAGTGAAGAAAGTGAAATGTGACAATGAAGTCTTGACAATAGAGCCAAGTACTTCTTTCAGTGTAGATTCAAACTGTATGCAGGATGTAGATCAATATGTGTTAAGTCAGCTCCCACCAGATATCCAGAAAGAAATATTTGAAAGTTCAAAAAATTATTATTCCTGTAATTCCAAAAACAATACAGTTATGGAAAATATAAGGAACCCGTGTGAATCAGAAGACGATGAATTGAAAAAGAAACTTATGACTGCTGGAATAGATGTTAATGATTTTCTGTCATTTCCGCCTGAAGTTCAGAAAGATATAATGGAACAGTACAAACTGTGTGCTAAAGCAAAAACACCTTCCCCGACAATGCATTACAAAAGATCAATACTCACATATTTTACTTCAAAAAAATAAATCTCCAAAATAACAACATCTTGTATCCTGCCTTATTCCTAAGTTGTTAATTATTAATAAGAAAAGTTATAAGGTATTTCTTCTTCACAACATATAAGGGTTCTTATGCATTTAAATTGGTTTTCATTTAAACTTGTAAATATAATCTACCCTAGGAGAGAATTTTGATATGTTATAATTGGTTCAATGTCTAACAGAGGATCCAGTATGTCTACATATAAATTACTAACTGTCTGAAACAAAATGGAATATATGAATAGATATTTTTCCATTGATGTTATTAGAATTAGAGTTATTTCCCTTTGTTATCTATACATTCCTTCATAAATTAATCAAATTTTATACTGTCCTCTAGACTTGAGAAAAAAATGTTTTTTGAATATTTTCATTCACTTAAGCCTTGTGTAATTCATCACTGCAATCTAGTTAATCTTTTATCAGATCTGCTTGAATCACATGGTTGAATTTGGTTAATCAAATAATCTCTCTCCAACATGGCAGACAAGGGAAATAACTCCAACTTAAATTATGTCAGTGGAAAACTATATTTCCCTCTAGGTCAGTGTTATGTACAATAAAATCAAAGATTATGTGACATTTCCTGAAATCAATTGGCCAGCTGTTTCTAAAGTAAAATAAAATGGTGCTGGAGTATACTGAATTCAAAATTATGCCTTGCAGTTTGGAACACTTATTCTTAAACATGTTAAATAAACAATCATATGTTGTGCTGTTACACCACTGGCTACAGTTAGGGGAGGGTTGGTCACCCGCAAACATGTTTAACACTGCCACATTCTGCATATGCCTATCCCAAGTCTGGATGCTGTAATTAAGTGGTTGTCATTTGTTGCTGTATATCATATTTGTTTTCATTCATTGTTTTGTACATAAATCAGGCCTTTAGTTTTTTCTTGTTTGAATTTTTTCACATTTGTCATTTTGGGGTCTTTTATACTGACTATGCGGTATGGGTTTTTGCTCATTGTTGAAGGCCGTATGGTGACCAATAGTTGTTAACTTCTATGTCATTTGGTCACTCTGGTGGAGAGTCAATGTCTCATTGGCAATCATACCACATCTTTCTTATTTTTATATTCCAAAGCCACTCATTAACTGAAAAATTCTACAACTTTAAAATTTGACATACACTTTAAGGAAGGATCCTGAATGGAATCCTGTATAATTATTTTGTTTCCTCCATAATGGGCTTCAGATCTTCTACTTGGCTATTACTTAATTATCTTTTATTTCCTACAGAATAGTACTAGTGTATTAGTGTGAAGAACAGAATTGAAAATTTGAATATACATCTGGAGTAAACAATCCTTTCTAAGTTATGTCAGTTGATTAAGTAATCATTCAAGGTGTCAGTATATTAACTTTAATTAATGGTCTTTCCTTTAGTCGAAATGAAAAAAAAATTTGGTAAACACTCAGCACTGACCATATATTGATTAAAATTTTAGTTGAATATTGTTGACCATAACTAAAGGCAGACTTGGATTTTCATCAGCTCTGCTTCTACTGTAATTCCACAATTATGAACCGTGATTTTCCCAAAAAAGTGTGGTTTCAAGATGATAGAGAACATTTCAAACAAATTAATAGAATGTTTAAATATTTCTGGAATATTGTGGAAAATTAGATATGGTTGCTGTAGCCTGTAAGTGGCATTATTTGCAGCATGGCACTGGACCATTGCAACTTTTATCACCTAGGTTCCATATTATTGCATAATAGTCCAGTTGAATCTGAACATTGCAATGTAGGCATACAACTTATATCAGTATTTTATGTTCTGATGGTTTGTCTACAGCCTTTTTAGTTACTCTGTTGATATATGTTGTTTCAAGGACAGATCTATAATTCATTAAAAGTTAACATTCTATTTGATTTGTCAAATACCTTGTAGGTACTGCAAGTCATGTGGCCTTTGAGGTTTTGAGGTATTGCCACACTTTTCATAAACATGTAAAGGTCGTTCAAAATCACTTAACAGTTAAAAGAGGCATCAGGCATTGTTTAGTGTACAAGGTTCATTAACCAGAAAAAGTCAATTGGCTTTTTGCAATATCAAATTGGTAATTTCAAGACGAAGTGTTTGCAGCATATTTTACAAGGGCTTACAGTGGTATCATTGAGTATGAGATCAACATGTGATGTTTAGTCATATAAGTGGCAGTCTTCACTCTCCGCCACTGGCCCATCATCCTAGCCTTGTAAAATTTCTATCTGACCTGTAAAAAATTCTTCTACAGGCCAACATAATATATACAACACTTCTCAACTAAAGGCTCTTAAATTTTTCCTTTTTAAAGTTTCTATTTATCTATTATAGTTTTCAAGATAATAGGCAAAAAATGCAAAAAAGTGTTAAAAATGATCACAATTTAGAAGGCAATAACTCCAATAACGAGGCGACTGAAGATTTCTGCCATTTGGCTTATTTGTGGATCTTGTCTTGCTGATCATTTGTGCTATTTAAAGTTTCTACCTATCTATTATAGTTTTCAAGATAATTTAGCAAAAATGGGAAAAATCATCATTAAAGGGCAATAACTTCAATAAGGAGTCGACTAACAATTTCGGTCATGTTGACTTATTTGTACATCTTGTCTTGCTGATCATTTTGCTATTTAATCAGAAATTGAAAATTGTAAAGTTTCTATCTATCTAATATAGTTTTTAAGTTATTAGACAAAAATGCAAAAAAAATGGTGAAAATCCTTAATATAGGGCAATAACTCTAATAAGGAGTCAACTGAAGATTTCAGCCCTGTTGATTTTTTTGTAGATCTTGTCTTGCTGATCATTTTTGCAAGGTAAAGTTTCTGTCTATCTATTATAACTTTTGAGATAATAGGCAAAAACTCTAAAAATGGCAAAATTTATCATTTAAGGGCAATAACTCCTATAAGAAGTCGTTCAACAATTTTGAAGTAATTGAATAATAGGTAGAGCTCAACATTTTGAATATTTTTGCTTACGTCAGATTTTCTCTATTTATAGCAGTTTTCAAAATAATAGGCAAAACTGGCATTTTACCCCTATGTACTATTTTTAGCCATGTCGGCCATCATGGTTGGCAGGCCAGGTCATCAGTTGCATTTTTAAAACTAGATACCCCAATGATGATTGTGGCCAAGTAAGCCCAAGTTATGTTAAATTTGGCCCAGTAGTTTCAGTGAAGATTTTTGAAAAAGTTAACGACGACAATGGAAGACGACGACGGGACGCCAAGTGATGAAAAAAGCTCACTTGGCCTTTCGGCCAGGTTAGCTAAAAATGAGTGGACAAGCCTGTGACTTCAAAAACTTATAGTATAGACTAATTCAGGGTATGTTATTTCTCTAGAAGAAGAAGAATAACAACTGAGCAAAAAAAGTAAGTCCCCAAACTTCATTTGGGAGACTTATCTGTATAGTGACACAGTTGACTTGTCTAAAGTTCTGACATCCCAGTCTAAAAATTATGTAGATTTTATACCGTCTTCGATTTTATTGTCCAAGGCATATCTCTGGAACTACCAGTCTGATGTATGTTAGGTTCTACAGTTTATAATCTGTCTAAAATAGGTTCTTGTACTAAAAAATTTTGTTTGTGCATGGGGTCCAAAGAAGGGCAGCATTTACTGTAGAATCATAAAAAAAATATTTTTTTAATAATGTAATGCTTTCAGATATGTGAATTGGTGAATAACCCAAAATATATATGAGCAAGTATACATTCTTTAAAAATGTTTTGAAAAAGGATTCCTAATAGAATATATTGATTGCTGTATAGAGGCTCAAAAGCATGAATATAACTTCATTTTTACAAAAAAAAGTTTATTTATAATACCCACAAAGCTTTTGAAAGATTCAAGTTTTTATGCACCTGCTGTAGCGGAGGGGGCATTAAGTTTTACCCTTGTCTGTCTGTACATCCGTTCGTCCGTCCATACTTACATCCCAAAATTGGTTTCTGTTCTCTAACTTTAGTTTGCCTCAACCAAAAGTTATGAAACTAATACACAATGCTTATTACCACAAAACACAGATCCAGTTTGAATTTTGGTGGCGTCAATTTTTACCGTTCTAGAGTTATGCCCCTTTACAAATGGAAAAATTGGAAATTTTTCGTTTCCCTTATCTTACTTAAGATTGCCTCAACCAAATGTTATGAAACTTATACACAATGCTTATTACCTTAAAACACAGATCAAGTTTGAATTTTGGTGGCATCACTTTTACCGTTCAAGAGTTATGCCCCTTTACAAATGGAAAAATTGCTGAATTTTTCGTTTCCGTTCTCTAACTAGTTTGCCTCAACCAAATGTTATGAAACTTATGCACAATGCTAATTTCCACAAAACACAGATCGAGTTTGAATTTTGGTGGCGTCATTCATACAGTTCTAGAGTTGTGTCCCTTTACAAATGGAAAAATTGCTGAATTTTTCGTTTCAGTTTTCTAACTTAATTTTGCCTCAACTAAATGTTATGAAACGTATACACAATGCTTATTACCACAAAACTCAGATCAAGTACAAATTTGGGTAGCGTCACTTTTACAGTTCTTGAGTTATGTCCCTTTATAACGTTATATGCAAGCGGGGGCATCATCTGTGTCCCATGGACACATTCCCCATTTATTTTTCTGTATTTTGGGGTTCTAGAAGGATGAAAATAATAAACCTTGTTTATCCTCCCCATAGAGTAATTGACATAATCAAAAAATCAATCTTGTCCTTTCAATGTAAATAAACTTAAGTACTTTCTACAGAAGCTTTATTGATTTGGAAATTTCATACAGTAGATTATAAATATATATCTGCACTCTAATACAGGTGATCCCCATACTGCTTCATCTGACTGGTTTACAATTAGCTGCCTTATTGTTTTCCAATAAAGAAAACTTTCAGCACCTCATAACGGAAGGGATCTTTTTAAATATTTGATTTCAATACCTTAGGTAGACCAGATTTCGTTTGAAACTTTTTTCCGTATAAAAAACTTTCTCCTTTATATTAGATAGACAATCGACCAGTACCAAAGTATTCAATACTGTTTATTAGATTGACAATCAGTAGTAGTGTTACTGTACCAAAGTAATCAATACTGTTGCATTACCTCACAAGGAGCTGGACTACCATAATTAGGTTCACCTGGCTGTATTATGCTTTTTCTTTTCCATCAATATTCCCTGGATGGCAAATAAACACCAACATACAGATATTTTATAGTAGCCTTTCTAAAAAAGAAGATACCAGGGTATATTCAAAACTCAAATATTGAAAAGAGAAACTGATAACACCATGGCAAAAAAGAAAGATGACAAAACTATAAACAAGTCCACAAAACAGAAAACTAAACAACACAAACACCACCAAGAGCTATTAAAGGGTTATCTCAGGTGCTCTTGAAGGGTATGTAGATCCTGCTCCACTAGTGGCACTTGTCATGTTGCTTATGGTTATTACGAATTGGGTGATGAGTCTTATTCTATTATATCACAATTGAGGAAAAGAGAACAGTTCATACAATTGGGACATTTCTGTGAGACGGGTATTCCATAACTTGTGATGATGTCTATGACACTTTCAAAAGGAATGGCTTCAACATAACCACTTGGAACCCTGGTTCAATAGCTTCATTGTTAGCAGCAACCCTCTATCAAGGAAATCATGAAAGGGAATGCAATGTCCGCAATATATCAACTAGAGATATATAGTCCATATAAAGACGCTGATTGAATGTTACAACATATATATAGATATTGAAAGTTCTAAAGGATGATTCAGACAAACGTATTTTCAAATTTAACCAGTGGTTTCACAACACACATTCTTTGAAAAAGTTTGTGGTCAGACTACATGTACTGACACCAAATGATTAGAAAAGCTAATGTTGGCCTCATCGACTAATTAAAGAGCTGATAGCTCTGAGGGGAAGAAGATACATAAAAGGACAACTTGAATTACAATGAAAGTAAAACAAACCAACCCAGCCTAGGATGTCCATTGTTGCTTTGGACATAATTTAACTTCCAAAAATAATATAAGTACACATATCTCCACTAAAACAGATTAAACTAGATATAAAATCTCTGAATACTGTTGGGTATTCGAGCTTCCTTCTTCAATAATAAACTAACACAGAGATATGTCTCGCCTATTTGTTGTTTTGATAGTAAAATTCAAATGTTGAAATTATAATAGCAATACTTAACATGTAAGTTGTGCATTCAAAGTCAATGAACAATGATGGAAGCTTATTAAGGTACAAACAATCTCCATGGAAATGAGATTTGCCAATGCTAATACAACTGCATACCAAATATCATTGAGTGACATTGACCTACCACTAGTGGTTCACCATAAACTGACCTTATCACACACTAATACATGTAAACTAAGGAAAAGTTTCAAAGTCAATAGACCATGACTGAGAGGGCTGGGCAAAATTATCTCCATGGAAATGAGATGTACAACTACATACCAAATATCATTGACCTACCACTAGTGGTTCACCATAAACTGACCTAATCGCAAACCAATATATACATGTAAACTAAGGAAAAGTTTCAAAGTCAATAGACCATGACTGAGGGGGCAGGACCAAATAACCTCAATGGAAATGAGATGAACCAATGCTTATACAACTGCATACCAAATATCATTGACCTATCACTAGTGGTTTCCCACTAACTGACCTAATCACAAACTAATAGATTGTTGACGCCGGAAACAGCATACCTATGTCTCGTTTTTTGACTCCGTCAAGGTGACATAAAATGGCCACCATGATTTTAGTCAAGTGTGCTGAAAGTGGGGTTAAACACCAACAAACAATTAATCATGAATTGTTATAGTTGTTCACAGTTACTTGGGTTTTTTTTTATTAACATATTTTGAAAAGTGCTAAATATATATCCAGTCTAGATTTTGAATGTTGTTAGTTATTAACACTTAAGTTTCCATGGAAACTAAAATTTGAGCAACACAAACCAACAACCATTAGTGAACTTCGGTGTGAGCCAAGGCTCCTTGTTGAAGACCGTACTTTGACCTATAATGGTTTACTTTTATAAATTTTGACTTGGATGGAGAGTTGTCTCATTGGCACTCATACCACATCTTCTTATATCTATGTTATAGTTGTTATCAGTTAGATCATTACATTGACATATTTGAAAGTTATTCAAAATCCCTCATTAACTGATTTGTTATGTTTGATCATATGGTGTGCTGTTAAACAATTGTCCCTGGTCAGGGGTTGGGTTTTAAGCCTTTGTTAACATTTTAAACCTCGTAATTTTCTGTATGTGCTTGTCCCAAGTCAGGAACCTATTATTTGTACTCTCAGGACTAGTCCCTAGGACTGGTGAAATTCTGCTTCTGTCCATAAAATGCATAGTCACTGAACTAGAAAGTAGAAAAAAAGTCCAGATCACAAGATATTCAGGGCATTAGTTTTCTACATATGGACTGGATATTAAGGTATTACTTCCAATGTAATTCTTTTAAAATTGAATTAAGTAATTTTTTCAATGAACAGTTAGTGTAAATACTTCTATTGTTTACGTCTCAGTGTCAGAGATATGATCATTCTATTTTCTTATTGCTGCATAGCTTTGGTAAGCGGTCTTCAAAGTTAAACCATTGTTAGATAACATACAACTTCAAACGTTTACCTGGTTTAGATAACAATAAAATGCCCCGCTGGGCGCAGCTTGATACGACCGCAGAGGTCGAACCCTGAACAGTTGGGGCAAGTATGGACACAACATTCAAGCTTGATACAGCTCTGAATTTGGATTGTGATTAAATATTTGACACAGCATAGGTTTCTGACACAGAATGAATGTGGTCTAAGAACTTAAAAAATTTTAATTTACCTATTCAAACCATATCATTATTATTTGCTTTTATATATAAATCATAAATAACCAATTTAAAATGGAAAATTTTAAAGAAAAAAAAATGAAAAAAAAATCCCCCCCAAATTTTTTGAACCCCCTTATGATTCATCACCCCCAAACTCAATCCCAGCCTTCCCATACACTTACACACAAGTTATTGTCCTGAAACTAGAAAAATGCTTGTTTTTTGCCCCTTTTTAGTCCCTTAATTCCTAAAATTTTGAGGCAATTACCCCCAAAATCAATCCCAGCTTTCCCTTTGTGATATGGAACCTTGTGGTACAATGTCAAAAGATCCATACATTAACACAGAAGTTATGTCTGGAAGTTACAAAAATGCTTATTGTTGGCCCCCTTTTTGGCCCCTCATTCCTTAACTGTTGGTACCATAACCTCCAAAATCAATCCCAACCTTCCTTTTGTGGTATTGAACCTTATGGTAAAATTTCATAGAGATCCATTCACTTAAACTAAAGTTATTGTGCGAAAAACCAATGTGTCTTCCGACGACGACGCCAATGTCATACCAATATACGACCTTCGCGGTCGTATTAAAACTAAATTGATGAAGACTAGAAACAAGAAAACAATGATGCCATTTTTATGAATACTGATTGTACTTGCAGAACTTCAACTAAGCCGGGAGACAACTTGACCACTCTATAAATGAGAGAAATACAATTATCAGATAATGAAGAGAGTAGCGTCTGCAAACTGGCTCCATGTGTATGATAATGCTGGTGTATTTTTACATCATTAGAGCTGTCTATTTTAGTGGTAAAAGTCTGATTTTTATAAAAAGTTTGAAGTAGCATTCTGACCAAATTGTCACTCTACTTTCAAATTTCTGAATCTAGAATCTAGAACACTTATGTAAGTGATTGTTTTTAAGCCAGCCTAACAGTACATTTGTTTCTCTGTCCTTGTTTCATTAAAATGATGCAGATGCTATTTTACAAATGCAACCAATCATGTGTACAAATCGGCGCTGTGATGAGGCATGGAAGTTATTAAAAAAAGCACAGAAATGGATAGAGTAGCACCGTAACACTCCTGGAAACAGTTCTGTATTTAGAAACAGCCAGCAGTATAGGATTTCAGAAGACTTTCATTCCTCCTATAAAAACTGAAGATATAAATAACATAAAACTGAATTATTAAAAATTTCACAATTTATTACTTCCATTTTTAACATGTACTTGACATTTTTAAACACTTCAACTTTGCATCATCATTCATCCCAAATCAATATATATATAAAAACTTTCAACAGAAAGAAAGGATACAGACACAGAGTATCAACTGATGCATTCTGATAAGCAAAAAGATCTTTGGCATAGATTCAAAGCGGTGCCAAAAATATATGAATGAAATTTAATACCAATCCCACACTAAAAGTGCAAAATTGGTAAAATCTGAAGCAAGCATACTTAATTCAAACTTTATGATTTTTTAGTCCTTTAAATTTCAAAACTGAATTTGTTATTTTTCATTTTTTTGAGAATACTAATGGGAGACTTATGCAGGGAATCATTTTATGATTTAATGCTCCCCAAAATATGAAGACGGATTTTTTTAAATGCATTAAATTTCAATACAATACTCCTTTGACATATATTTAAAGGAATGGGATACAAATTTTATCTTATATCAAATTTTCCCTGAAACAGTGTGGTTAAGACTAAAATATCAAAGAATATTTTACAGTTTTCTTCTATTTCAGGCAATATTAGTAATATGCTCAAAAAAAATATATAAATAGTAAACTGTTTTGGTTTTTTTGGGGAAAAGATGAAAAAAATTTTATTTATTCTTAGAAAAATTTGAAAATTGTTAGAACTTTTTCCTTACAGTAAGTCATAAAACCCTTTCCATAGGCATGCTAGAATTTCTTTTGGAGGAATGTTATAAACACCTTTCATCTTTATAATTTGTTCCTGTTTCCAAGTAAAATTTGCTAAAGAACCCATATCACAGCAATGTGTGATTTTATTCAGTATTCCATTCTAACATCTTGGTCACTGGACCTAGAAGTGTACTTGTCCATAGTTGGTTTTTATCAGAACTTAATCTTGAAAGAACATGAGGTAAGAATCACCTACCTCCCCATAATGGCCTTTTGGTTAAAATGTAAATTCTACTTGTCTTTTTCCCAAACTTGCTTCCTCCCAAAGTATCAAATTGAGAGAATAAATGGAAATGTTATAAAAGTTTCCTTCAGAAAAGCTGTCTTAACATGCAAATCACTTCCCCATTTCTGTATCATATTCCTTTAACTACATCAAAGGTGTTATTGCATGTACTTAGTAAATTAGGAAAGTGAACTTAAATTGGTGGTTTACATTAAAATATTAAATAAACAAACAAATAAAAAATTCAACAAATAACACCAGTGACAATTAAATATAGTAACTAATAGTAAATAAGCTATAAATTAATTAAACCACATACACTTTTTTACATGCATACATCCAACTCATTTATAACATCCACATTTCATTAATTCACACCTATGTACACACACCTTTACATGTTACATCTAATACAGTAAAAGATCACCAGAAACAAATATAATACAAAATGAAATTAACAATATTTTACCATGAGATGGTACACAAGAAAAATATAAAACTTTTCCATCTCATCATATTTCAACCTGATTATATAATATGTGCTAGGCTAACATCTGACAGAAACTTTCATTCTAAATAATGATTTTCCTTAAAGGTGTCAGTCATACAGTCATTTTCAAATTTGTTTACAAGGTTTGACATACTTCCTGATATACACTGCATTTAAAAATACCATTGAAAATTTGCAACTGATGAAAGATCATCATAATGAGATTGAAATCTCAACAACAGAAAATGAACTTTCAACAGTATTTTTAAAGATAGTGTATTTACTAGAAGAAGCTTTTATACTATGGGTCCTCGTTTTACAAACAGAACTCCAGACATGAGCTTTGAATCATTCACCCTGATTTCAATAACTTCTACAATTAATATTTAACAAAAATTATGAATTTATACAAATTAATCAATGCCTTAATTTATCTTGTAAGAAGTTTATGAGGAATGAATGAAAAATGAAATCTTTCTATATTTTTAAAAACTTAATGTTTCATCAAGTGTATAATTTGTTCATCAGAAATGCAATATTTCTATAACATATAAACTATATAAGTATACAGTGTTCATGAGAATTTGTATGCTTTTTAAAAATGAACAACTGGAAATTTTCTTAAGTAACTTGTTTAAGGAATGTCAATAACATATCTATGAAGACTAAAGAATATACATATTCCCTTTAGGGATATTGTCTACTCAATTATAATTGTGTTTAACACCATATAAGTGTGTCAGGTGAACAAATCTGTTTGATTCTTGATCTATTTTCGTTTGAAAAAAAACCCAATTCATTTGAACTGGTCTGGTAAAACATCAATTTTCTCATGTATCATTAAAACTTTACTTTTCTTTCAAAGAGTGTAGACAATATCCCTTTACTACATTTATTTCATTTGTCATTTCAAATACACATACAGAGCTGATCAAAGCTCATATACCAATATTTCTGTTTTTACATTTATATCTCGAACAAAAAGTACAATTATAACAAGGTACATTGTACCTGTGACATGGTAGCGCTTTCATTTCAAAATCACTCATTTGACTTGCACTGTCAGTTAATATTGAAAAACATGATTTTGATCAACAAAATATGTTTACCTGACCATAGCCTGACATTGATCAGATATAGCAAAAAAGCACCTTTAAAATGTCAACACTATTTTCAACATGTTCAAAGCATGTCTTTAACCCTTGAAATAGTCAATATAGACAGATATTTTTCTATGATTTCTGAGTAATATTTATGCAGGTTAGGATATGGAATATGAGTGAAAAGTTTGCAGTTACCTATTATTGACCTAGTAGATTTATATGCACTCTCCATTACCTGTGCCAGTTGAATACTACAGCTCAATTGGAGCAGAAAAATCCTCAGCAAAAAAAAAAGATTACAGAAATTGAGATATTGGACATCTTCATATTTGTAAGGACTTGGTAGATTTACAGATAAATTCATTATCTCCATTTTGGTAACTAAACAAAAAAAGATTTTATTTATTTCTTTTATTTTACTAAATACTAAATGTTAAAAGTGTCAACCAAGAAATATTTTTCCTTTGACTTTGATAATAATTCTATCACAGAAACAAAAATTAAATGGGACTTTACTATAAATAAATAGGCTAAAATATGTTCTACTTAAATGACTAATGTTACAGTCCTGCAAGTTGTACAGAAAATCATCTATTTTATTATGTAACTTTATTTGATGGTGCTTCCAAATGTCATAATTAAACTTCCCGCCCAAAATAAGAAACATTGTATCAAACAATAATGAAAACTTGAGAGAAGTATTATTAATTTATACAGTATCATACTCAATAAATATTAAATGAGTAAAACAATATCATCTGTTTTTTTTTTTTATATAGGAATATATTAATGAATACTTTAGTAGTATTTTAAAAGCAAAGTAAATAATTACTGCCATCCAAGAAAAAGCCTTCCTCCAACCTGAATGTTATTACAGGGTGCTTTGCCTTGATCCTTCCTTTTTTAAAAAGGATAATCCAATTATTTAATCCAATCAAATTTAAATTCCAAACAATTTTCATTTATCAAGATTCGCCTCCATTTCCAGAATCGTCATCATCTTCTGCGTAATAATCATCTTCATCATCATCGTCCTCATCATCATCATCACCTACGTAATCATCATCGTCATAAAAGTCTACATCATCATGAGGTTTAGGTTTTATACTAACACAATATTCCTGCAGAGTTGTTGGAACTGTTACTCCGTCTCGTTCAGCATCTTTTTTTGTGTCTTGAACTTGTTTCCTGAATAAGAACATTCAAGATAGTATGGGTTTTACTTTTTCAAACAATGAAGATTAATTGTTTAGAAATTACATGAATTATGATACATCAATATGATTTCCTTATGATAAACCTTTTAGACAAAAGAATGAACATTATGTGCATGATAAATGAATGAATATTTCATATGAACTTTGACCTTGTTTGTTACAGCCTATACATCTCCTTATTCTTACATTAAGTCATTTTCAATTAACCCCAATTGATAGACATCTACACAAAATTCAGTAGTGTATAGGTATTTTTGGCGTATTTATATGGATTTGAAATAATATGGCGTATTAATTTTAAATATAAAATCCAAAACAAAGGAACAGGGCTTTATTTTTTTTTGTACTCTGTTTGCAATGAATTTAGCAGTTAGGTCATTGTTAACAGCTTTAGTGCAAAAAATGAATTAAGATTAGTTCCAGAATATAAGAATGACCAGAAGCTGTAACATTCCTGCAATAAACCACACTAAATGCCTGATAAAATCACTAAATATATATGAATTGATTGCGAGTCTTTTGTCCCAAAATTACACAATTCACCTCGGGAAAATACCTGAAAAATATGTTAAAACCTTAACAAGTCTTAAGTTTTTTACAATGAGTTTAAAAATACCATTCAAACTTCACTTTGAAATTTTACAACTTTACGCATTTCCTAGCTACTAGTTCTACAATGTATTACTGGACCCCTTATGGCAGTCAGGGGTACAAGTTATTTTTATTTAATTGAAGAAGAAAATAAAAATATACTTATATAAGTAAATTTTTTATATTCATATTTTCTTATGAGGTTTGAATAATCTCCCCTTAATTTTCTAAAAAAAATTTACTTATATAAGTAATTTTTTTTCACAATCCCTAAAATTCTCAAATTTGGGATGTAAAATCATGCCTTATACAATTTTTAGCTCATAATTTTTTATTAGAGTACAACTTTTCATCTCATTAATTCAACAAAGAAACTAATTGCGCAAAGATCTTAAGTAATTGCGCAAGGCCTTCAAAAATTGCCCCTTGGAGGCTTGTAAATGAGCAGTGTTTTGAAGATAACAGACAAATGAGATTTTCTTTGTCCATGAAATTACACTTAAATGATTAGTAAAGACATCTGCAATGGACAGACAATTAAAAATTCTATTAAAGCAAAGAAGTCCTGAGAAATTCAAGAAAAGAAGATAGTATGACTTTTTTACTTGCATAAGTAGAAAATCTGAATGTCTAAGGGACAAAACTAAGCCATTAAAATAATGTACCTATACAAGTATAAGTATCTTACAAATAAAGTCAAATATACTTATATAAGTATATTAATATTTACTTCTTCAAGTAAATAAGAATAACTTTTACAAGTAGTACCCCTGACTGTATGGTGACCAATTACTAATTTCATCCTTTTTTTTAGGTCTTTAGTTGACAGTCGTTTCATTGACATTCATACCTGATCTTCTTTTTTTTATAAAGAAACTTTTCAAGCTTTATTTTTGATCAGGTGGCGAATATAAAACTGCTAATTTTAGGTTAGAACATAACCAAAGTTATAGTTCAATATTTCTCACTACTGCAGAGAGTAATATTGCTGGAAAATGGCAACATTAAAGGGGGTTTAAAATAAAAATGTTCTTGTCATTTTATCAGACAATTTTAAGAATTTTGTTCAATATTCCCCTTATTTTATTTCAAATACACCCACCCACAAGCTTGCACAATACTATATACTACTCAGGACTTTAATATTGGAATAACCATATAATACCAGTTTTGTAGGTCAAATGAAAGAAATCATCCCTAATCTTTACTCATTTCCTAACCTTCTGTTCTGTTTTTAAACACAGTAAAAATCCTGGATAGCTAATTATATTTTATGGACAAGGTTATCAATTTAATTCTGCATACTTGAAACTGTAAAACCTATTTGTTTATTATTACCTTATTATATTCTCATACTCTTTATCTCTTCCTTTGGAATCCTTGAATTTTCTGAACATGACAGAAGCATCAACATTTGCTGGAGAGAATGTATTTGGCTCGTTGAGAAGCGATATAATACTAAGTAGGATTGTTCTGTCAAAATAAATGTTCATTGAGAGATATTATTGACCTGTAAGACAAAGTTGATACTGATCTCATGAACAGTAACGCTACATACATATATATATATTCTTTATGGATTCTACCTCTGCATTGAGTGTAAAACTATATTATTACATTTAAGACAGTTAACGATGGAGACAGAGGAATATTGTATTGTACAAAATAAGGCAGTGAAATCTATTTCTCCACTGATTTTTTGCAGATTTGAAATATCAACTTTATCTCTTTTTTTTTCAGATATATGCATTCTTTCAATTTAATGTCATCTGTCATGACCTCTTTTTTTGTGACATCACAACAGCAAATCAGAGGAAAGCAAAAAATAATTGATGCCATAGTTGGATTTTTGACAAATGCTATGAAATTTTTATTTCATAAAAAATAAAATGCTCCGCAGGGCGCAGCTTGATACGACCGCAGAGGTCGAACCCTGAACAGTTTGGAAAGAATGGACACAACATTCAAGCTTGATACAGCTCTGAATTTGGATTGTGATTAAATATTTGACACAGCATAGGTTTCTGACACAGAATGAATGTGGTCTAAGAACTTAAAAATTTTAAATTGGACATTCACCTATTATGGTGCAATATCCAAATCTCAATACATGGTTAGATTCAGCATATCAAAGAACCCCAAGAATTCAATTTTTGATGAAATCAAACAAAGTTTAATTTTGGACCCTTTTGACCTCAATGTGGACAAAGTTGATAATGGGGCCCAAAAATCAAAAATCTAAATACATGGTTATTTCAGCATATCAAAGAACCCCATATATTCAATTTTTGTTGAAATCAAACAAAGTTTAATTTTGGACCCCGATTTGGACCAACTTGAAAACTGGGCCCATAATCAAAAATCTAAATACATGTTTAGATTCAGCATATCAAAGAACCCTAAAAATTCAATTTTTGTTAAAATCAAACTAAGTTTAATTTTGGACCCTTTGGACCTTAATGTAGACCAATTTGAAAACGGAACCAAAAATTAAGAATCTAAATACACCGTTAGATTCGGCATATCAAAGAACCCCAATAATTCAATTTTTGATGAAATCAAACAAAGTTAAATTTTGGACCCTTTGGACCTCAATGTGGACCAATTTAAAAACGGGGCCCAAAATCCAAAAACTTAATACACGGTTAGATTCAGCATATTAAAGACCCCAAGAATTCAAGAATAAAACCCCATTGAAATTGATCAAGAAATAAGCAATTTATACGAAGTATCTTCTTTTGCACAATACTGTGCAATTGAATATTTCTTGCTATTGCGCAATACTGTACAATTGACAATTTCTTGCTATTGCGCAATATTGTGCTATTGGATATTTCTTGCTATTGCGCAATACTGTGCAATTGAAGATTTCTTGCTATTGCGCAATACTGTGCAATTGAAGATTTCTTGCTATTGTGCAATACTGTGCAATTGAAAATTTCTTGCTATTGCACAATACTTATTATATAATAATTTACACATCCTGTTTGGTGTGTATCTCCTACCATATCATTATAATTTGCTTTTAAATATAAATCAGAAATAACCAACTTAAAATGGAAAATTTTAAAAGAAAAAAAAAAGGAAAAAAAGAAAAAAAAAATCCCCCCCCCCCAAATTCTTTGAACCCCCTTATGATTCATCACCCCCAAACTCAATCCCAGCCTTCCCTTTTTGGTATGGTACCTTGCAGTACAATTTCAGAGAGATCCATACACTTGAACACAAGTTATTGTCTGGAAAATAGAAAAATGCTTATTTTTGGCCCCCAATTCCTAAACGTTTCGGCCAATTACCCCCAAACTCAATTCCAGCTTTCCCTTTGTGATATGGAACCTTGTAGTACAATTTCAGAAATATCCAAACACTTACACACAAGTTATTGTCATGAAACTAGAAAAATGCTTGTTTTTGCCCCTTTTTTGGCCCCTTATTCCTAAAATTTTGAGGCAATTACCCATAAAATCAATTACAGCCTTCCCTTTGTGATATGGAACCTTGTGGTACAATGTCAGAGAGATCCATACACTTACACATAAGTTATTGTCTGGAAGTTACAAAAATGCTTATTTTTGGCCCCTAATTCCTTAACTGTTGGTACCATAACCCCCAAAATCAATCCCAACCTTCCTTTCGTGGTATTGAACCTTATGGTAAAATTTCATGGAGATCCATTCACTTAAACTAAAGTTAGAGTGCGAAAACTACGTGTCTTCGAACGACGCCTGACGACGACGACGCCAACGTCATACCAATATACGACCAAAAATTTTTAATTTTTGCGGTCGTATAAAAATGAAATTTTATTTCATTGGCGCCTAATGCATGAGATCACAGCAACTATGACAATTTTGTGCAGAAGTCCCTCATTATTTATTTCTATCATTTAGATGCCATAACATTGTTTACTTGACATGAAGGAAACATTTTGAAACTGGAAGTAGATTTGATATCATGTGGAAATATAAACTATCATGTTGATGTCTGACTGTGAGTAGATTTGATATCATGTGGAAATATAAACTATCATGTTGATGTTTGACTGTGTGTAGATTTGATATCATGTGCAAATATAAACTATCATGTTGATGTTTGACTGTGTGCAGATTTGATATCATGTGCAAATATAAACTATCATGTTGATGTTTGACTGTGTGTAGATTTGATATCATGTGCAAATATAACCTATCATGTTGATGTCTGACTGTGAGTAGATTTGATATATATCATGTGGAAATATAAACTATCATGTTGATGTTTGACTGTGTGTAGATTTGATATCATGTGCAAATATAAACTATCATGTTGATGTTTGACTGTGTGCAGATTTGATATGTGCAAATATAAACTATCATGTTGATGTCTGACTGTGAGTAGATTTGATATCATGTGGAAATATAAACTATCATGTTGATGTTTGACTGTGTGCAGATTTGATATCATGTGCAAATATAAACTATCATGTTGATGTTTGACTGTGTGTAGATTTGATATCATGTGCAAATATAACCTATCATGTTGATGTTTGACTGTGTGTAGATTTGATATCATGTGGAAACATAAACTACAATGTATCATGTTGATGTTTGACTGTGTGTAGATTTGATATCACGTGGAAACATAAACTATCATGTTGATGTTTGACTGTGTGTAGATTTTTCAATCAGCAAAGCACTTGAACTTGAATTGAAATTGACATTGAACATCCATGAGAAGAATGTGTATTGTTACTTGACAAATATGATGAACCACACTATTCTTCCACTTTTGTGGAAGGTACATTTATATAGAATTGATCTTGTTGATTCAAAGAGTTGAAAATTTAGTTTTATTTATATCTTTTATCCATAAGGAAGTCTGACTGTCTGTGTTGCTTTAATACATGACAGCCCCAATCCTTAATTGGCTTGAGGAATTCTTAGCCCGAGTTTTGAAAGGAATCTGATCTGAAAATAGAAACTTAATTGCTTAAACAGCATTGCTTCATAATGTTCAAGAAAATTAAAATGGACGCTTTCATATTTTTTCCCTGTATTTGTACATGTTAATTTATGCAAAATGAATAAACAAAGCATGAAAATGTTCCTTACAAAATCATCTAATGGTTCAATAAAGGTTTCAATGATCACGGTCCGATGAACAGCTATGGTAGGTGCTATTCAATCAATCAACAAAAATGTTCTTAAGTCCCATGTAAGTGAGAACTGAGGTGAGAATATACATCTTGTTTCCTTAATGATAAGTCCTGATGTATAACCCTTTAGTCACCTTACCTGACATTTTGTGTAGGGTTCCATCTTTCTGAAGGCAATTCACCACTTTGTGGATCGTCAATTGGAGGGTGCAGGATTGATATACATACATCACCATTCTACAAAAGTATTATCTTTTAATAAATACAAAAAAAATTTCTACCATCTAACTACATGTAGATACTATTCTCATTTCTGAATCACAAACAGGCCTTGGGCTCCATAAACATCATTGATCAACCTATTTCCATATCTAACAATAAACCAGCATATTTAATAGGCATTAGATCATCTACTGTCATGACTGTAGAATATAAGACGCGACACAAAATGCAGGGAAAAATCATAAAAGTCTTATTAAAGCACCAAGTCTTCAAAATGTACATACATGTAGTACAGAGTTTTGTTTTTTATGAAGTGCAATTGTGCAAAGTCAAAAATTAAATTGAAATGTTTGAAAGTAACCGGTATGAGTGAGCTCATTTAACACACAAAGGACTCATATTACATGCATTATAGTATAACCTTTTAAGAAAAAAAAATATTGACACTGAAGAAGGCTACTTGTTTGACCAAACTATTTGTCTATACAATTTTATGAAATAGTGATCATATATTAATATCTTATATCAATATCATTTCAAAAATCTTAAAGACTTTTATACACTATACATGTATATATAAATATGGTTTTTGCAGTCTTAAAATGTATATATGGTTTACAGGTATACATGTGGGTCTGGTATCAGATAATATGTACAGTATCATCTGGATTCACTAAATACCAGGTACAAAATGATTTAGGTGTATATATGTACTCACCTACAGAAAGGATGACATTTTTTTTTATCAAACCAATAGCCTTAATTCTTAAGGGCATAATTTTATTTAAATAATTAATGCAAATTAAACTGTCTACAACCATACATGTACTTAAATTTGAATGGACATCCCTTCCACCCTTGAAGTTATGCCAACTATCCTTCAAAAAATGTTTTAAGAAAACACTACAGACCTTGAGGTTAATTTTATATTTTATTCATTAATAATTTATATTTCATGATCTTTTCATGCTTGTAGTTCTAACATTAATGTGTATTTAATTTTATACATCCATGGCTTTCAAATGTTCAGGTTTGAATGCACAATATTAAAGTGTTTTATTTTCATTTTAATTAAAAAATAATTCATGGGAGCTTGAATTTATACTGATTTTACCACAGGTTGGCCCTTTATGCTAAAGCGAGAGGTAAAATATCGGCAAAAAGGGCAAACCCATGGTAAAATCAGTATAAATTCAAGCCCCCATGAATTATTTCTATTCTAATAGGACAAATACGGCAATTCTTTAGGATCGATGCGCTCTAGGTGAAGGCAAACATTTGCCATTCCCGTCATTAAACACTATTAATATTGAAGTAAAAGAACGGAGAAAAATGAACTATTGACATGCTTAAATTATTTACAATAACGTACTTAGATAGGTTTGGATGAATTTAAATGATAATCTTACTTATTTGCAAAAAAAAAAATGGCTTTTAACAAATTTTGTCATCTTTGTTTTTGTTTCCTTGATTTGATGACTTTCAGTTTCACAACCATGCATTTTCCCGTAAAATGCTTATATTCTTATGTCATCGTTTAGTGACGTCATTTCCACCGATTGACGTCGGTTTATAGCTCATTCATAAAAAAAACATACAACGTGGGAGTATGATCGGAACAGCCCATACTAATCATGACGTTGCTAATCAGCTGACATACAAAAATGTACAATATATTCATATTTTACCATGGGTGTTTACTCAAAGCGTTTGAAGATAATATTTGATTATATTATATGGAATCCTGAAAAACTGAAAAATTTCTATGGAATGAGATAATCTATAAGTCTCCAATTTCTTGTAATTTTGAATGTCATACCGAAATAGTTGGATGTCACTGAATGAAATACAAAATGTATATTGTCCATAAGTATCATTAAGTTGTGAGAAAAAATTTAAGTCAGATGGACATGATGGAGTATAGTTATAGTCTTTTTGTGAAAACTAAGTATGAAATACTAAGAGTTTAAATATCTTTAATTTCCATTAAATAGTTTGTAGAATGTACCTCATATACATTTGGATGCCACATCTTGGAAATGAACTTTACACTTGGTGGATTGTATGGATAATCATTTGGAAACTTCATATGTGCCTGTAAAAAAAAGCATTTAACAATAGTTGGATCCCTACATGTGTACATACAGTCTTCATGCTCAAGACTTGATTAGGAGATACGGTCCTGAAAGACTTTCAACAACATGACAGCAATAAGAATTTCTGATTTTCCTATTTTGGGGGATTTTCATAAATGTTATATGTTACAGGATCAAACAATTTCCAGCAAATTTGTAACTATCTATATACCAAAAGGAGTATACGACCAGTTATAAACCTTCATGAACTATGGCAATGAGACATCATGTCTCACATGATCTCCCCAGGCCATTTCAGCGTCGCAGCACAGCTATAATTTTTTACTGTGACCCTATAATTATTTTGAAGATGTTATTTTTTCTTGTCTCTATACATTACGGCAAAATCAATCTATGTCCTAATTATTGAACTTTCATCAAATTACCGCTTATGATCATAAAAATGACAAGACTTACCAAAATGTGTGCCATGTTTTTTTGCTCTGACAATCATCCAATTAAATTAAAGAACATTTAACTAAGTAAACTTACTATTATCACATTGTTTCGGCTAATTTAGAACATCAAAGCTTATGCATATTAATGACAAATACGTGTTGCTACATGTATGCTGTATGGGTTTTGCTCATTGTTGAGGGCTGTATGGTGACCTATAGTTGCTAGCCTTCTATGTCATTTGGCCTCTGGTGGAGAGTTGTCTCATTGGCAATCATACCATATCTTCTTATTTTTATATAGGTTATAATTTCATGACAGCAATTGCTACATCATATTTTGCAATTAATTATAGTAAGTTTTAAAAGAGTATGTAGTCTTTGAATCCAGAGTATAATTCATATGCAGCAAAAGGAAGGGTGGAATAGATTTGACAGCTAGTTTCAAGTAATTTGGAGTTCTTGAATGTCTAGTTTTATCAATTTTGACAAAAATCGAAGTAAATGTAAACAGGTAACTTTTTTTATGTAAACTTGTTACAAGATTGAAAACTGATTCATTTATAAGACTCGCCATCCCTTCTTTTATTCACATTAATTCTGGTTTCCAAACATTTATATAATGTACAAAAGTATATCTATCTCTTTAGATTAAGTTAACGGTCCAGAAAACAACCACAGGACATTTTCTCAAAATGAAAAATTGTTGCACTTTGCAGGGCTCACACTACTTCAGAATCATAGGGAGAAGTGACTTCTCTTTTTGAAACCGAGAGGGAGAAGTGGTAAGATTTGAAAGAGAAGTGCTCACAGCGCTATAATGTGTGGTTTTTACTATAATACAAAGGGCCATATGTATCTTATTTTTTTTTATATTGTTCAATTTGTACCTGGGTATACAATTAAAGTAACAGTTCAAATTCAAAGTTGTTTAATTTTATCATATCTAGTTGCACAATCATATTAGTCCTCTTGTCAGAAAAATCAATTAAATATCTGGCTTTTTTTTTATATCAAACATGTCAAAAAGGAAAAGAAAGTTGTTATATCAATTAAAATTTAATAAAAAAACTACTCTAGATCTGTTATCCTGTATATGAAATTAAGTATTTCTCATCAAAAAGATATATAAATTTAACAGTTTTATTTAACACAGTTAAGCTTGGATCGACATAATATAATTATAAATAATTAGTGTAATAGTCCCAGAGTTGAGCAACTTTAATTTATAAATTGAAACAATGCATATACATGGAAATATATACATTAATCAAGTAGATCTAACCAAAAGTACACGTATGTTAATGCAAGTGGAATGCACAATTTTTCCCCTTGGAATCAATTCTCTTCTGTCAGCTGTGCCTTTTTTGCGTTTGTAGTGTTATCGTAAGAATCCGGATTTCGGTCATAGCTGGTACGTTTCTGATGAATCCGACCCTGATCCGTAGTTGTACAATAATTTCATTGGCGGACGAAGAAAATTTTCAAAAATAAATGATGTTTGACACCCTATTTGGAAAGGAAAATGATGATTTTAATGCAATATACATGTACATGTATGGATAACAAACTTACTTCAGGCAAATTTCATCACGTTCTAATGAAGTAACAAAGTTATTTTGCCGAAAGTTTTTGTTTTGAAGTACGCTCTAGAGTAACAAGTACCGGCAGTGATAAAAAATTGTCTTTATAGGAAAATAACATGCAACCAACTTTAAAATCAATGCTTTAACTCTTTTCTAAAGAAAATAAATCATTTGTGTCTTTGAATTTCTTTACTTTTAAATGAAAAATTGCTGTTTCATCGACTTGGTGAATATTGAATATTGCCAATGTTGAAAGCGACTGAAAGCAAGTATCGTGAATAACAGGGCGACTAGATTTCGCTTTAGACGGTCAGGCAATGCGAAATGACGAACAGGAAAGCGACTTTGTCGCCCCAGTCGCCTGCTAGTGTGAGCCCTGATTTTGAGACAAAACATTCAGTGACCTAATTACCAATCAAAGAAAAAAAAATGAGGATTACACACTGAAAGTAAATAACTGAACACCGAAAACCTGTATCATTACAATAATTTATGAGAATGTACATGATCATGTGTGTAATCTTACGGTTGAAAAATGTCTTTAATTACAAAAGAAAGTGTTTGCTACTATGCATACTATTTAACCGTACATGACTTCCACAATAATTGTAAATCTGCTTTCTGAAAAGTATGATGACAGGACATGTATACAAACAGATACTATCCACTTATAGAAAACAATACCCTTGCAGTTAATAATCAAGATAACTGGATACCATAAGAAGAAGGAGAAGCTCATCAGGTACATTGTATATGTACAAAAATGTAGCACCTGACTCATAATTTATCCTGTTTGGTATTTGTTTATGTTAGGACCAGAGGCCTAGGCCTCTCATGGATTTACCTGTGTAATTAAAATTTCTTTAATTTAAAGAATGTATGTATTTCTGGTAAATTACCTTGAAATAACCACCTTCATATAATGTACCAGGAGGTCCGAAGATAGCAACTTCCCATTCAAATAGATTTTCATCATTGATTAGATTTACTCGAAATCCCTCTACTGGCTCCTCTTGAATTTTCTTCAGCTCCAACTGGAGAGCTTTCACAGCCCCTCCGATGGGACTCACTGCCATGTCTACTGTCAGCTAAATATCAGGATGAGCTAAAATGAAGACCAGGAAATGAAATTTATGTTAAATTTCTTTGTGTTGTTCTTTGTGTTTTGTTTCTGCAATATGGCGATGGAATGACGTCACGAATGAGAATTTAGAGATTTTGCGACAAAGAAAGATCTGGAAGATAAGCATTTCATTAATTTGGAGTTCTTAACTTTAATCTTTATAATTTTTATCGAAATCTTGTCTTTGAAAAAAAATATGTGATCTTCGAAAACTATTATTCCATTTTTTTACGACTGTCATAAACGGAATTTAATCAGAATTTTACTTCCGCTTCAATGAAATGGCAAGTGCGAGCCTTTCTACTGAAGAAGAAAAGGTAAATAGCTTCAAACTTAAACAGTTATATATCAGAAAAGTAAATTAAACCATAAAAGTTTCAACTGTCACCCGAAATCTTTGTTTATGAGACCCATTATGGAAGTGAACGACAAACAAAATTTACCTCATTAAAAATGAATAAATATGACAGAAAACCACAGTGCCTATCCCTTCAAATAATTCCTTCATTCCCATTCATTTACGTATGATAATAAAGACAGGACCACTTTTATATGATTCAATTTTGTGTTCTTGCCTCTTTTCAAGTCTGTACTGATGTAGACTTTCAGACCATTCAATCTCTACATCCATGCAAGCTAAAGCTTTATAGTCAAAGCAAAAAAATAAAATAGTCTTTCAAGACGTCATAATTATTTGGACTAGCTTAAGCTGTGTTTTGATTGATTCCCTAGTTATCAATGCAGGGCTTCCAAAACGGTCATATTGTGGGGACTTGTCCATTAAATTATATTTATGTCTTCTTGTGACGAACCTGAAATGGACATTTAAATTATCCATGGATTTTTTTCCAAACAACATGTACCTTCTATTAGGGGGTGAGGGGGGGGGGGGGGGGGGTATGGATTATTTCTGGAATAGCCCAATGTGGGTTTGTCATTTTAACATAATTCAGAAAAAATGGTCTATAATAGTATAAGGGAATTTTTTGCCCACAACCTCGCCTTCTTTTTACTTCTACATCACCATATTACGTACATACAATGGGTGACGAAACAGGTAACTAAGATAAGAATTGAATAGAAGACATACATGTACATGTTATTTTTGACATGTTTCATCCTTTCAGGATTTTGTTAAAATGGACATGCTATTTGTAAGATATATTTCTGATATTTTATGTTAATACACACTATTGTAGTTACATTTTAGTTTAATATAGAGAATACACAGCTTTTTTTTTTTGACAAATACGTGGATCAACCATTTACCTGAGTAAATAACATTTAAGAAATAATTCATGGCAGCCGTAGATTTGTTTTCATTTAACCATGGGTTGGGCATTTATATTCAATTATTTTACCTCGAGTGCACCTTAACTGCAAGCAATGCATGAAAACTGAATTCAATTTCTGGTAAAAATGATATCAAGAATCATCGTTTACAGCGAAAGGATATATAGCATCAATGATAATAGGATAATAGGACTCAGCTAGTGTAACCAGGACAAGTCCTGCAGGCATAAGGATTTCTTTTATGGCATGTCCAGACATAAAATCATGTGTTGATGATGTTTGTTCCCTGTTAACGAGATACCTGATATGGTTCAATATACATATATATATATATATATTTACTATATTAGATTTACAGCATGATATATACATGTAATACCACAATCTGACAACAAAAACTTGTCAGTTACATACACCATTTTGTACACTAAACATGCTAAATATGAAAGGAATATTTCAAAGAATTAAATCTCTTTATCTGCAAAATAAAAAATCAATCTGTAAAACAAATGCAATGTATATATCAACAAATATTAGAACTTTAAAATATTGAACCATAAGCTGAAAGAGATAATCCTGCAGTGGACTTCGAGCTAGTTTTTGGAAATATTGGGAGAGAAATAAATAAAAAGAAAAATTAATTTCTGTATAAATGTATAATAAATGGTTTTTATACGCCCGTTTACGTATTATGGTATACCGTTGTCCGTCCGTCGTCAACATGTCAGACATTAACTCAAAAACGCTTTAAATAATATGCATGAAGCTTTGGTTAATTGTTTATATTTATTGATGTGAGCTCCCTTTCGTTTTTTATAAATTTCAGATTTACCGTTTCTGAGTTTTGGGGTTTTATTCATTAAAAAGGGGGTATTTCCAAGTTTTCCGACAATAACTCAAGAATGCTTTCACCAACTTGCAAGAAATTTTGGTGAATTGTTTATATCTATTGACATGAGCTCCCTTTCGATTTTTATAAATTTTAGATTTTACGTTTATGAGTTACAGGGTTTTATTCATAAAAAAGGGGGATTTTCAAGTTTTCGGACAATAACTAAAAAATGCTTTCAGCAGTTCTCATGAAACTTTGGCGAATTGTTTATATCTGTTGTTGTAAGCTCCCTTTAGAATTTTATAAATTTTAGATTTTACATTTCTGAGTTATCAGGTTATGGGGTTTTATTCATTAAAAAAAGGGGGATTTTCCAGTTTTTGGACAATAACTCAAAAATGCTTTAAGCAGTTCGCATGAGACTTTGGTGAATCATTTATAGCTATTGATGTAATCTCCCTATTGATTTTCATAAATTTCAAATATGAGATTGACATTGAGAAGAAATTGAACTTTATTTGTTTATAGTCTGACAACAGATTTACTAAGTATTGCGCAACAGCACAGTGTATTGCACAACAGCAAGAAATCTTTAATTGAATATAAATTCAATTCATACATGTTTTTGTCATATAACCAATTTTAAGTTCTTTGACTACGTTTATTCAGAAACCTATAATATGTCAAATATTCAATTACAATCCAAATTTAGACCTGTATCAAGCTTGAATATTGTGTCCATTTTTGCCCTAAATGTTCAGGATTGGACCTCTGTGGGCGTATCCAGCTGCGCTCAGCGAAGCAGTTTATTCTCATTGTTGAAGGCCGTACGGTTGCCTATAATTGCTTACATCCACTTCATTTGAACTTTGGTGAATAGTTGTCTCATTCACAGTCATACCACATCTCCTTATTGACAACTCTCTGTCGAATGGCAGAAAAAGTTATAACATACATTTTCAAAAAGATACAAAATGTTATTACTGTCAATTGACAGCTGATGACCACAACTATATATTTATTTCTATATTGTGATGAACTACATGACTTTTCTTAGTTTCCTAAAATTTTAATAAATGTCATGAATGTTTTTTGTCATTTTGGAAAATTGGTATTAGTACCGGAAATTTGATAGTCTACAAAAATGTATGTAAAAATTTACAAATTGTGTTAGACTTACAATGTACAACATGTACATTTTTACTTCAGGCAATTTAGAATCTGACACCTGTCTATTTTTTAAAACTGTATAGTTATCCTCTGGTTGTCCTTTACTATTTTTTGTCTCACCCAGTCATTGGGTTGCTGTCAAACAGACATATGACTGGGAATGACTGACTTCTGCATTTATTCATATGTTTAAAAGTGGGTCAGAGTAACCTACTTAACAAAATTTGAAACAGAGGATTAAGAATTTACCTGTACTATTGATACATTTCCTGTGTTATGAGATAACAACTTAGTGCTTTAAGAAATCACTCCTAATAAATGCAAAATAGGGTGTGCTGATTATACATCAATGTGGATTGCATTTGTTTTACAGTTCATATATCATAGTATCAAATAATGATATGTGGAATGCAACCGATTTAAATTGAGATACTTATGATTACACAAACTTCAATTTCTTCAGGAATCTAAAATGGTACTCGAGTCTGAGATAAGAACTCACATGAACACATGACATGCATGAAGGCTGGAAATTTCAATATACATGATATATATATGATTATGAATTATGAATGAAATCTGATTTACTACACAACATTTTTTTTTTACTATCAAGTGGCACTAAATCATTGTGTTTTATATTTCATACTGGAAAAAGTGCTTTAACATAACTGATAATTGTTTTCACAATGATATTTGTTATAAAATTATTTTGTGACTTTGACAATGTATGACACATTTAAAGGATCTTATCTTGTGACTTCACAAGGGGAACACTTAAACACATATAGTATACTGCAAATGTCTATTTCATTGCTTTTGCACTTTGATTTTTTATTTAACATGTTTAATTTCCAGAAGAAATAGAGTGATCATTACTGATTCTCAAAATTCCTCTCACAACATTTTTACTCAAGTTAACTTTCAAAAATATGTAATTCAAATTAATTTAAATTACATGTTAAATGCACCCACATCAGGTATGTCAAATATGTTTGTTCAGATAGATTTATTGGGTTTTTCAATTACAAAATTAAATTATATATATATAATTAGATATTGTATTTTGAAATGATTTGTCTTCGAGACATTATACTGTTTTTTTTAAATAGGCATTCTTTATGAATTTTTTCTTCATTTTTTAGTTGTATTAATTGTTAATTTGTTATAGTTTGAATATGCATTAACAATTGCTATTGAACACTAAGCCAGCAATAATCAGTAATTCAATCAATACCTAATATAGAAATATAAATTTTAAGACTTTAAATGATGATTGTGGCCAAGTTTAGTTAAATTTTAAGTCGCCTGCCCAAAGGGTAAAAAATCACTTGGTGCCCATCGTCGTCGTAGATTTTTGACCCTTTGGGCAGGGGACTTAAAATTTAACTAAACTTGGCCACAATCATCATTTGGTATCTACTTTTAAAATGTGTCTATTGACCCCACCTGCGAACCAACCTGGCTGACATGGGTAAAAATAGAACATAGGCGTAAAATAAAAGTTTTTTCTATTATCTTGAAAAACCACTTTAAATACCGGTATAGAAAATCTGCCAGAGAAAAAAATGTTCAAAATGTTATTTACCATCCATTTAGGTCAAAACTGTCAGATGACTTCTTATAGGAGTTATTGCCCTTAAAGACAATTTTTACCCATTTGTTTCTCTTTGGTCTTTTACTTTGAAAACTATGATAGATAGATAGATAGATTGATAGACACATTACATAGCAAAAATAATCATCAAGGCAATATATCTACAAATATGTTTACATGGCCTAAATCATAAGTCAACTCCTTATTGGAGTTATTCGGCTTAAATGATCATTTATACTATTTTTTTGTGTTAGCATGTATTTCCTTTTATCCTAAATAATATTAAGACGAAAAAATCTATCAGTAAGACAAGATCTGCAAATAGGTCAGCATAGATGAAATAGTCAGTTGTCTTACTAAATGACTTTGTTTACCCTTTGTTGTATATTGGCCTTGGCAAAAGCTAATTAACATGATTAAAGAAGGTAGAGAGACCTGTAAGCATAGAAAATTATCAGCAATTGGCTACAAGATCAACAAAAGTGAGATTTTTATGCCCCCACAGTAGCGGAGGGGGCATTAAGTTTTACCCTGTCCGTCTGTACGTACCTCCGTCCGTACATCCCAAAGTTTGTTTCTGTTCTCTAACTTCAGTTTGCCTCAACCAAATGTTATGAAACTTATACACAATGCTTATTACCACAAAACACAGATCAAGTTTGAATTTTGGTGGAGTCACTTTAACCGTTCTAGAGTTATGCCCCTTTACAAATGGAAAAATTGCTGAATTTTTCGTTTCCGTTCTCTAACTTTAGTTTGCCTCAACCAAATGCTATGAAACTTATACACAATGCTTATTACCACAAAATACAGATCAAGTTTGAATTTTTAGGTGGTGTCCCTTTAACCGTTCTAGAGTTATGTCCCTTTACAAATGGAAAAATTGCTGAATTTTTCGTTTCTGTTCTCTAACTTTAGTTTGCCTCAACCAAATGCTATGAAACTTATACACAATGCTTATTACCACAAAATACAGATCAAGTTTGAATTTTGGTGGTGTCCCTTTAACCGTTCTAAAGTTATGCCCCTTTACAAAGGAAAAAATTGTTGAATTTTTCGTTTCTGTTCTCTCACTTTAGTTTGCCTCAACAAAATGCTATGAAACTTATACACAATGCTTATTACCACAAAATACAGATCAAGTTTGAATTATGGTGGTGTCACTTTAACTGTTCTAGAGTTATGCCCCTTTAAATATGGAAAAATTGCCGAATTTTTCGTTTCCGTTCTCTAACTTAAGTTTGCCTCAACTAAATTTTATGAAACTTATATATACACAATACTTATTACCACAAAACTCAGATCAAGTTCAAGTTTGGGTAGGGGCACTTTAACCGTTCTTCCATTATGTCCGTTTATAATTTTATATGATATTCAAGCGGGGGCATCATCTGTGTCCCATGGACACATTCCACATTTATTTATCTTGAATTCTATTCTAGTCTACAATGTAGGAGAGTGTCCATTGTTAAAGATGCACATAGACCTACATGTAGGTGAGCAACACAGGCTCTTTAGAGCCTCTAGTTTAGTTACAAAAATTGTTATTTTTTGTAGGAGTGAAAAAAGAGGCAAATAACAGGTTGGTTGATGAATTACCATATGAGCATAGGCTTTAAGCATTGTTTTTAAAATAAGTTGTATACATTCATTCATGATTAGCATGATTAGTGTACATTTGGACTTCAGAGGGCCCAACATGGATGGAAATTTTGTAATTCAACAACAAAATTTTTGAAGGAAACCCAGGGAAAGTTTTAGTTAATTGAACAGCAAAAAAATTCTTTCAAGTTGGAATTATAGTAAAAATAATACATTTAAGAAATCTATCTTTATAAAAAATAAATTTTTTAAAGACTTCTAGTGCCATGAATAATATTGAAAAATTGTCACAAGTTATGAAATTAATTTAATATTCAAAATACAGGAAAGTAAATTTTAAAAAAAAACGTCTTTATTGTGAGACTTGACACCAAATGCTTGATAATTGTTTTGACAACCCTTAAAGGTGAAGGAATAGAAATAGATTAAATATTACACAATATTGGTAGTTTAATTTCTTGGAAAGTCATCCTAATCTTTCTAGCTATGAATTGATTTTCCAGATGAATGAGTGCATTCTGAGTATATGTTTGATTTGGTATTGTTATGTTGTACTGTATTGATTGCTAAATACTCTTAGCAAAATATAGTGTAAAAAATGAATAAGATGTACAATAACTGTGCATGTCACGTACATCCTGGGAATAAAATAAAGATCAGATTAGCAACAATATACCGGTATACTTCTATTTATCAATGAAAACTTGATTGTCAGTTTCCTGTATATATTTTATGTCTGTAAAAATATAGGTTTTATTTTGATATCCGCTAGGCTAGTCCTCAATTCAGTTAAATTATTATGTAGAAGTTTTTCATTAAAGGTGTGTCATTTCTAATTTGATTTCACTTGAAAAGGATGATTTAGTTCTGAGATAAGACTCAACGATTAGGATTCCTGGAAATCTATAATATTTATACATTTTATTTCCTGATAACAGTTGTGCGAAAATCTATTTAAAGTCTATACATACATAATATCTTCAGCATGAACAGTTCAGGACATAGTTTAAGCATAAATCCTAAAGAGGTAAATATATATGTCACATTTCATATTCACAAAATTATGTAGGTATTCTCATGTGTGTAAAAGTTTTACAGTCAATTGTGCTCAAATTCATACATATATATAGTCATGGATTATAAATTAAACATCTTGGTGAGGAAAAAAGCATTACCAGGGTCATCATAGTTTTATGTATTTAAAAGCAGAAAGGAATTCCTTTTTTTCTCTATAAAACTGAAGGTAAAAGCATCAGCTTCTAAGATAAAGATAAAGCACTATGAATATGATGATTATTCAGGCTGATTTTCATGTAGATGTTTAAATGTATTCAAGACAACAGTTCTGACATTCATATTTCATATACCATGTATACAGACAATTTTTTGTAGCTCAAACATGTTGGATTGGTATTACTCAGATGCCATGTGAATTCAAATTAATTTTCATTCTTTTACTATTCTCAAAATTGTAAACCAATACTGCGAAGGGGGCATTTCTCTTCCAGAAACTATTTTCACCATCACATTTTTATTACTAGTACATGTATATTGTAACATTATTAATTTTTAATGTCACAGTGTAGTTAGACTTTTATAGTCCGTACTAACTACATATACAATTTCCAGTTATCAGGTTATAGTTTCAAGGAAGAGGAATGTGATCATGGTTTTTTCATGACTTTAGCTTTTTGAGATGGTCTCATTTATACTACTAAAATAACGAGGTCCAGGCATGACATAAAAACAACAAAAAACTTAAAGAATTCAGCTTTAATATAACTAATATAGGACAATAGTGTTGATTAAAAATTACACTATTCCAGGCCCCTTTTGTTTTCCACATAATTAATATTACCAATAATTAACAAGTTCTGGGTCGAAACTGATACCGATGCCAATAGTATATATGTCACATGTAGTTTCCGGTTGTAGTAAGAAAACCAGGACGGGTTCAAACAGAAAGATTTTACAAGCAGAGAAACTGACTGTGCACCTTATAATCAGCATGATTTTATCAGATGACATTTACGAATACTAAAAATCCAGGCTAAAAATAAGGTGTAAGTCCTTTAATCATGTTAATTCAGTCACAGACCCGTGATGTTGTGGGTGTGTTCTTGTTTGTATAAATTTGATATACATGTTTATTTAGATGTACAAAGTCTTTATATACATTTCTACATTTTAAAGATTTTCTTGAAATTTTCTTGAAATTTATAAATCAATTCATGAGTCTCATAAATTACTGCATCATTAAGATATGTCTTAAAATGTTTAACCTGCAATTATGACTGATAGCAATGACTGAATATTTAATAAATACAGACTTAATAGCTTTGTGTTTATTTGTCTGCAAAAAAAATTCTAAAGTGGTCTAGACTTCAGGCACTTTAAAGATTTTCCTCTTGTAAGGATGCTTGTCTTTATACATGATATACTGCCAATAATCACTGAAGACGATATGGCGACTTTTTTTATTTTGGTTTGTTTGTGTTGTTAGGTTGCTGTCTTATTAATGTTACCTGAACATATACATTTGTACTCTTATTATTGTTTTTGATGTCTATAGTGCACATCTGATGTAGTTTTGAGACTAACAAGATAAAGGAAGACAACTCTATTGATTTCTCTGATGTATTTACATCAAAATTTGAATAATTCATTTACATTGATCACATATATCAATAACTCATCAAGTACTTACATCGCTGGGAGAGATATATATATGACTTATATCATGTTTGAAATATTATAGGACCATCTACAGTGATTTCATTTAGAGCAGGCACCATGAAAATCCTTCGTACTCCGCCTGTTAGGATTAAAATTTACCCTGTTGAACTAAAACTTATTGAAATTCCTACACCTGATTTATTTTAAATATTATATAGCATGTAGAGTATTAAAATGTTGATTCCCTCAATGCAAATCCATTCCTTTTTACATGTGCATAAAACATATCCCTTTTGCAAAATTGCCTTTGAAATATTATTTTTTGTCAAATTAATACGCATGAATGAATACAGGAGATATTTTTCATGGAATAACTGCCCTTAGACTTCATGAAAATTATCCTCATCCAGAGTCCAAACATTTTTTCTGTGCATGTTAAACCTGTAAAAATTTAGCTAAATTTTGGTTTCAAAGTGTATCATAAATAGTAAGAGGATAATGTTGTGTTTTGTTCTGGATTTCCTTCTTTTCATGGATTTATTGAGTTCTTCCATATACATTTTGCAGGTGTCATGGGTGTGGACCATTTATGTCATCCCAGTACAGTACCTAAATTAGCATTGATTTATATACGCCCGTTTACGGGACGTATTATGGTATACCGTTGACCGTCTGTCCGTCCGTCCGTCGTCAACATGTCGGACATTAATTCAAAAACGCTTAAACCAATATGTATGAAACTTTGGTGAATTGATTATATCTATTGACGTGAGCACCCTTTCATTTTTTATAAATTTCGGATTTACCGTTTCCGAGTTTTGGGTTTTTATTCATTAAAAAAGGGGGGATTTTCCAGTTTTCGGACAATAACTCAAAAACAATTTCACCAATTTGCATGAAACTTTTGTGAATTGTTTATATCTATTGACATGAGCTCCCTTTCGTTTTTTATAAATTTCGGATTTACTGTTCCAACTTTTGGGGTTTTATTCATTAAAAAGGGGGAATTTTCCAGTTTTCGGACAATAACTCAAAAATAATTTCACCAATTTGCATGAAACTTTTGTGAATTGTTTATATCTATTGACGTGAGCTCCCTTTTGTTTTTTATAAATTTCAGATATACTGTTTCCGAGTTTTGGGGTTTTATTCATTAAAAAAGGGGGGATTTTCCAGTTTTCGGACAATAACTCAAAAACGATTTCACCAATTTGCAAGAAACTTTGATGAATTGTTTATTTCTATCGACATGAGCTCCCTTTTGATTTTTATAAATTTTAGACTATACGTTTCCGATTTATAGGGTTTTATTCATCATGTTCATTACAAAAAGGGGAATTTTCCAGTTTTCGAACAATAACTCAAAAATGCTTTCAGCATTTTTTATGAAACTTTGGTAAATTGTTTATATCTATTTTTGTAAGCTCCCTTTTGATTTTTATAATTTCCAAATTTAGGTTTCCAAGTTATAAGATTTTATTTGTTTATAGTCTGACAACAGATTTACTAAGCATTGTGCAACAGCACAGTGTATTGCACAACAGCAAGAAATCTTTCATTGAATATTAATTCAATTCATATAACCAATTTCAAGTTCTTTGACTACATTTATTCAGAAACCTATAATATGTCAAATATTTAATTACAATCCAAATTCAGACCTGTATCAAGCTTGAATATTGTGTCCATTTTTGCCCTAACTGTTCAGGGTTGGACCTCTGTGGTCATATTCAGCTGCGCTAGGCAAAGCAATTTATTAACTTTGAATAACTGGAGCAATTTTATTTTTAAGCAAACAGCCACAGTTATATACATGTACACCAAAGATACATTAGTATCTTATTTTTATAATAATGTGAGAAAAGAAAATGAGAAGTGCAAACTAATTTCCATACATGCCATATCAAATCACAAATAGAGGATAGTAAAATTTTATTTTATGAATTACATGAGATGTGGGAAACACCTTTGATATTACATAATAAAATGTTGCTTTCAGGTGATGATACATCAACGGAAACAATGTTTCATAATGACATTAACTTTTCCTCTCTTTTTTCTACAGGAAGTAAAAGGTTTTCTGGAATATGTAAATAAGATACGTGAGCGTGAGAAAGCAGAACCACTAGCATGGAACACTGCTGTCAAGTTTCTTATGGCAAGGAAGTTCGACAAGAAAAGAGCAATAGATCTGTATATAAACCATGAAGTAGGTGTTGGATTTTAAAAAAAATTTACACATGAATTAACATGCTGTTTCACTTGTGCATTCATGATTTTTTTTATTTGGCATAGTAATTATATAATGAATAAAAGGAGATGTGTTGTCAGGGTTCACACTCTAACTTGAAAACTTATTTTATTTCACTTGTTCTACGTCTGGTAATGCCCTTGTATTTGTTAAAAAAGGCAACAATCCAGGAAAACCCTACAATATCTAATGTTTGGTAGCAGGGTTTCCCTTGGGTCAATTTTTTTGTCTCACCAAAACAATATTTTGTTCCCCTCTTGCAATATTTTTTTTTTTCATCGACAGAGTAAATTTTAAATTTGAATTGTTATCGTCTCATGTTCATTAATCCCACATTTCTCTTCATAATCAACAATTTGATATAATTAGAATGATAATTCTTCCTCAGATTCAGAAATATCTTCAGCATAGTATTTCAAAGTTTGTAAGAGATGGGATTTTTTGCCTATACCTAACATGATTTAAGCAGTAACTGGCCATGAATACTGAGTTACTTTTAATGACAACTTTATAATGATTTGGATTAATATAAAATAAGAAGATGTGGTATGAATGCCAATGAGACAACTATCCACCGGTGACCAAATGATGTAGATGTTAGCAACTATAGATCTGCATGTTAATCCTTTAATCTGCTTGCACAGAGTGGATTAGTGAAAGAGTCATCTATCATGTCTATAATGAACGATAAAATATATTTTGCACATTTCTACAATAAAGAATATATCCATTGTTTGAAATTTCTGTGTAAACAAAATCTTTGAAAATTGACACCATGATAATGATTTTAAAAATAATATTTTGGTGAATTAAATAGAAGATAGGTTAATATGTTTAACATTGTTTAAAGGTACATGTAATTGAATATTACAGGAATTGAATTTTTATTTTGAGAAGTACCCAAGCATGTAAACTGATAAGATTATTTAATGATAAAATGATTTGCCAGGAAATAAAAACTTACACTTGGTTGACACTACAAATTACAGATTATTACATGTTATATTAACTGTGATTGCACAAATTAAATAAACAGTTAGATAAACTTTAGGTAAACTTTAAATGTTCTTATCTGATAGTCAATTTTAAGGAAATATTCATTTATAGAAACAACATGTACAACACACTGTAATTATTTTTGCAGTTAAATGAATATTTTTGGTTGAATTTCACCATAGCCTTATTAGCTTTTATGTTTTGTCATGATTATTGAAATGAATAATATACATGCATGCAATGGTCATAGGGGAGTATGCTGCCTTTGATTGGAAAAATATAATTTTTTCACATGAAATCATTTTGCATACTTTACATGTTAAAGTTTGTGATTAGGTCAGTTTAAGTGGAACCACTAATGATAATTAGTATGCAGTTGTATTGGCAGATCTTAATATATCTCAGAAACTATTTTGCCCTGTTCCTGCAATCTTGTTTCATTGGCTATGGGTATTTTGCATAATTTACATATAAAAGTATTGCTATTTTGTTTTCAACATTTGCATTTTACTGTCAAAATAACATACAGGCAAGACAAATCTCTGTTTAACAGTTTTAATATCAAAAATTTTGAAGACATTTTTAGTTGATGAGTGCTTGATTTTTAAAAAATTATTTTCCATCATCATTCATTTCCTATTTTATGCAAATTTGTGTACATTATTCCACATTAATCATTTCTTATAAAATCCCTGAAAATATGAATCATATACATGATATAGTTTGATTCATTTATAACAAGAAGTTGTTACTCTATGATGAGTTCAACTTTAGGAGTATTTCATATCGAAATAATAATGAATTAATTGAAGTATGGTTTCTCTTTATATATGGAAATGCTCAGATCATTGGGACAATTAATATATATTTTGTTAGCAAAGGTTTTTAGAGAAATATAAAACCAACTTTCACTTTGACAGTACATGTTTACATGGTATACACATTTTTGTTATGTAATTATAGATTATTGATGGTTTTTCAAACGAGAGGGTGTTCATCAGCTACAATCTCATCGAACGGTGACAGCCCTGAGATGAGATGTGGCTGAGAAACATTCTCGAGTTTGAAAGACCATTGATAATCTGTTTATCGCTAATTTGCCTATGAGGTCTTTTAGTGTTTACATTGACAACGTCACGTGCGCCCTTAGTTTCTGGCGATAATTTTCCATCTCAAGCGAGTAGCATGATATGAAAAATTATCACCAAAAAAGATCAAAGGAAAAATGCACAAAATAGCAATAACAATAAACATAGTATTTTACATTATGATATTGGTTTTAGAAAATGTTTTCCATTTATATTTTTTATAATATTTAAATATCTTTGACTTTTTTTCAGATAACAAGAAGAAAAGAAGAATTATTACATATAGATAGTAATGATGAGTTACTACTGAAAGAAGTGGCAACGGAAAAGTTAACAATATTGGTATTGAGAAATATTTTTAAGTTTGAGTTATTTCCCTTGAACCATTATATGATTGATTGATAAACAAAGTCAAAATACATTTCATATGAAAGATACAGTTTTAAAAAAGAAAGAAACAGTTGAAACACGCTATATTTTACAGACTTGTGATTGTAATTTTACTTAACATGACTAATAACTTGAAAAATTATGTTATTAAACTTTGTACTTTTCTGCATGATTTTAACATTGATTTCTTTTTTATATTGAATGTATAAGAATATTATTCAACATCAATATCAGGTTTAGTAAGCTCCTTGAGTTGCTTCCTGTGTCATAGTACTAGTATGAGTCTTAGCTATTTATAAAAAAAACAACAAAAATGTTTATGTGCAACAAGTCACAATGACATTTTTTTGGTTAGAAAGTAACATATGAATGTAAGGAGATGAGGTGTATACAACAATGAGTAATGATGAGACACTAAAATAAAAGAACTAGAAACCTTCAACAGTAGACAAATGTCTATACTTGTAACATTGTAGTGTCACATAACATTTTGATAGAATACAAACAAATGTGAAATGAATATGTGTGATCTATTACAGCCTGGGAGAGACAAACATGGTGCAGCAGTAGCCTTATTTACAGCCAGACTACATCAGCCCAGAGACTCAACACATCAGATTGTTCTTAAAGGTCTACTTTATCAGTTAGATGCTGCTTTGGAAAGGTATGATATTCTCCAGTTGATATGTTTTATCAGAGAAACATCTTCTAATTTATCTGTAAAGATGGGAGGGAGATATCAAGGAGGGAATCAAAAAAACATAAGATGAAGAACAACAGAACACCATGGTCAAAGGAAAAATTAATAAAAATGCAAACAGTCCCCAAAACATGACAGAGAAAACTAAAGATTGAGTTAAAATTTGGGATGAGCTCAGGTTCTCATGAGGGTAAGCTGATATTTCCTAATAATTATACTTATACTTTCCCTGATTGGTTGTGTATTTTGTTAATTGATCAGTTTGCTTGTGTTTTACTTTATCTCAACTCCTAAGAGGATCACTTGATTTAAGTTTGTTTGTCATTACAGCAACAAAAAAGAAAATGATGACATAATAGAGAAAAATATGTTTTTTTTTATTGGCATTAAAAAGAAAAAACATAAAAGTTTGTCAGCATATGAACTAGTAATCATTCTTACACTGCATTGTCTTCAATACAATATTTCTCTCTTTCAACAATCAAATTTCAAATGTTGAAATTCCTATGCAAGCCTTTCATTTTAAATGTTATAAATTAAACTTTTCAAATGGGGAATTACCATATCGTGGCATGATATCAATATTAGTCCATGGTTTGCATGAATTTAACTTGATATAACCATATCAGGAACTTACCCCATTATGGTTGTCTTAATTCTGATCTATCACAATAATGATAATAGGTAAACTGATGGCTGAATATATGATATTGTACTTAGATCAAAAATTTCTACAAAAATAATAGACTATTCCATTTACATGTGAATACAAGACACATCCAGGATGCCATCCAAAAATCACTTCTCTGCAGGAAGGGTTTTGAAATAAATTTTTTTTAAAGTCTATGTGCTCTTGTTTATTGTGTCAATTAGTTCTCTGTCAGAATCTTTAAGATAACGTATGATGTATGTAAAAACATATATTTATATTCTATATCTTTCAGCAAAGACACACAAAGACATGGTTTAGTATTTATATACGACATGACAGATTCAAAGTATGCAAACTTTGATTACGAACTCTGCACAAAAATTCTCAGTCTTTTGAAGGTAGTATATGTTGTTCTTTTTTAAATTCAAAGTACTTTGAGTTATTTTTATATCCCATGCATGTGAATACCTTTTTTAACCCATCCATCAGTCTTTGTGTCAGTCTGTCCATCATCACTTGTTATAGCACCTTCATTTTTCATTGCCTCCTCTTCACATTTGGATGGTGGGTCCACTCATGAAAACCTTGGTTAAGATTAACAACATGAAAATCTTAATTTGAGGACCAATTTTTCTGGACTGGGACTTGTTATAACATCCCATATTAATTCTTGTCAAAATAATGGCACCTCAGACAAAATGGAAATCAGGAAAATCTGAATTGAGGGCTATTGACTTTTTCTTCAATGTTTTTAATTTTACATCATGTTTATATAAATTATGGAGAGGGCTTACATAGGCTTTGCCTGTTGCCCAATCCAATTCATTTTATCTGAATAAAATACTGTTTAAACTATATATAACCCACTTTTAGTATTAATAATTGAATTCAAAATGACTTCAAGTTCATACAGGTTTTTTAAAGAATTTTATTTAAGCATATAGATTATACAATTCTATATTTTCAGGAAATTTAAAGTCCAATAAAATACATATTCTCATTTGACTTTGATAATCTTATCTTATTTAGTTATCATCACAATTAATTTATTTATTTCAGGGAGCATGCCCAGCAAGATTGAAGAAAGTATTAATTGTGACTGCACCTCTGTGGTTTAAAGCTCCTTTCAAAATTCTCCAACTTTTTGTCAGGGAAAAACTCAGGGATAGGGTGAGTGAAGGAGAATTAATGATCTCAGTCATAGTTAGATTAGCTTTGTATATGAATTTGTGTAGATACTCAGTGATTTAGTTATCACAGGTAAAATGAAAAAGGAAATATTTCTCAATATTGATGTTTTAATTAGGCCAGCAATAAGACCTTTTTAAAGACAAATGTTGAAGACTAAAAGTGTATGAAAGAGGGGAGGTAATTATATCATAAATGAAAGTCATTGTCTTTATTATTGTGCTCTGACTATAAATTCTGAAGTACTTTTTTTTTTATTATGCCCTGCCTGCAATAGTGGAAAGCCATTATGTTTCTTGATCTATGAGTTCCTACCATTGATTCTATCTGTTCTGTATCAGGTTAAAGTTTTGGTTTAAGTTAGTTTGTTAAACTTAATATACCTGTTCATATTGAAGTGAAGTGCACAATATATATGCCAAATAAGGGTTTTTATCCTGATTTCACTGTTCACTGAACATGGAATTGTGATAGGTTAAAGTTTTGGTTTGAGGAAAGTTAAAGTGTTGGTTTAAGGTCGTCTCCTTATTGGAGTTATTGCCCTTTAATGTTGTTTTTTTTATTAATTTTTTGCGTTTTTGCATATCATCTTCAAAAATTAAAATTATAGAAGATAGACTAAGAGAAATTGTTCAAAGTAAAATTGATTAGTAGAACAGGATCAACTAAAAAAAGATTAAAGGCATGAATTTTGTTCCAGTCTACAATGTTTGAGAGTGACATTGTTGAAGATGCACATAGATCCAGGTGAGCGACACTGGCTCTTTAGAACCTTTTTGTTTTATCGGAGGCCAAATTAAAGATCCTGTATGTAAAAAAAATGAGTTCTGATTGTAAATGTACTGCCAGAGTGGCCTTATTCAAGTTAAATTCACTGTTGATTAAGATTGACATTTAGATTCATATACAAGTGCTTTATTTAGTGATTTGAAGTCTCTAAAATAAAAAAAAAAAGGAATTAGAATGACTTCAAGAAGCGAGCATTTTCATTTTCATTATTTATTGAATTGGCATGGGAGGTGAATATGAATGAAAACCAAATGTTTTCTAACAACCAAACACTTTACTCCTTCCCTGTATTCTTGTCCTCATTATATTCTTACTGTTATAGTCCTAATATGATATCCTACATTGTTCTAGCTGCTTTCTTGTTTTTATGGCCCACTTACGATAGTAGAGGGCATTATGTTATTTCGGTCTGTGCGTCCGTTCGTTCGTTCTTCCGTTTGTCCGTCCGTCCGTTCGTCCGTCTGTCCCACTTCAGGTTAAAGTTTTTGGTCAAGGTAGTTTTTGATGAAGTTCAAGTCCAATCAACTTGAAACTTAGTACACATGTTCCCTATGATATGATCTTACTAATTTTAATGCCAAATTAGAATTTTGACCCCAATTTCACGGTCCACTGAACATAGAAAATGATAGTGTGAGTGGGGCATCCGTGTACTATGGACACATTCTTGTTCTTTTTTCTTTCAATATGGAATGTATTCAAACTTTAAAAGATTGTTATAATTTTAGGTATATACAATCAGTCTTCAACAACTCCCTTTGCATATACCAAGTGAGTCCCTTCCATTACATCTTGGAGGAACAATAATGAACAGTCATCCTGCTTGGATGCAAATATGTTACAAAGTATCAACAAAACAAAGCATTGACCTGAACACTTACTTCTTCCCATGTAGGAGTACTAGGCAAGGATCTGTGTCACAAAGAAGCTTATCTAGTGAAATTTCAGACTGCATGATTATTAGTGATATTGAATCTGAAGAATCCAAGGAAACTATTAGTGAAAAACATAGTTCTGAGGAAAAGGAAAAGGAAGAAAAGATGATCATAGATCAAGAAAAAGAAGTCACAGTGGAAAAACATGACACTTGTGCAAATGGCAGTATAAAACGCAGACATGATTCAGATGTAAATAATGCAGACGACAACAAGCAGCAGAACAGCAATTGCAATGACAATATAAATGAAGATGAATCTGATATCCCACCAAAAAAACGACCTTCGTCAACTAGTACAAATATTATTGAAGATACAAATCATATGAATGAAGTTACAGGAATGACTGTTGAACAACTTGTTAAACACTTGAGGAAAACAAAAAGAAAGGGACTGTATACTGAGTACGCACATATAAAAATGGAACCACCAAGTGGAACATTTAATATATCAAAGTAGGTATTGTCCTTAAAATGGAACCACCAAGTGGAACATTTAATATATCAAAGTAGGTATTGTCTTTAAAATGGAACCACCAAGTGGAACATTTAATTTATCAAAGTAGGTATTGTCATTAGAAATGAGGTTTCATTCCATTTTGAAAGAAATATTTATGTTTTTTTTTTTACCAAATCCCAATTCAGTATTAAGCTATCAATGTATATATTATAAGTATATTTTCCATAAAGATTTTGACATCTCATAGCCTTAAAAAAATGAAAACAACACTTGATAAATTTCATGTCCGAGGTGCTTTTCTAGATCTACCTTTATCAGGAACGCTCAAAACAGAATATTCTTCATTTCTCTAGATAATGTTATGACTATTGAGACACTCTTATGTATATTTAGAAATTTGAAATCTCTCCTTTACAACATGTATCCTGAGTGGGAGGTCTTTTATCTCCATCCTTTGGATAAAAAAACATCTTAATTCTACTGCTGCACTGTTATTTGATTATTTGAAGACTAACCTGAACATCATTGCCATTATTGTCTAAACAATGTTTCTTTTTCACAATATCAAAAACTAAAGCTATCTGATTTATAACTGGAGCAAAGTACTCATTTATAGAAGAATTTTTGATTTTAACAATTTTTAACATTGATAATCATGCTAATTGAACTGCAAATGGAAAAAATGAAATAATGTAGAAAAGAACAATATGAAATTGTTTTTACTGTAAATTTCTCCATCTAAAATGTTCTCAGATAGAATATTTCCCATATTGAAAGAATATTTCCCATATTGAAATGGAGTTTTAAAAAGCTACTTCTATGTGTATGTTTACTAGTGAAGGTTACATGTACTTCAAACTGTTGTTACTATGATATGACTTTGAGCTTTTACCAGACAAATAACATTTTATTTACCAGTCAAAAGTGAATAGTTTGTTTAGATTATATGCTTTCCTTCACCAATGAAAATTCTGTTATTGTTTGGTATTGAACCTGATTAACTTTCCTTAAGAATTAATACATGCTTCTACATCATATACATGAACTGATTTTTTTTTAAATTGTCTTGTTCTGCTTATCACATTTTTATAATGAACGTTCCACATGTGCCATGATGAATTTAAACATATTATATTGTCCAAAAATATTGACAATAGGATTAGACACAAGTTTTGCAACTTAGAACGTCTTCTCCATTACATACAAATAATAAATAACCGAACAAAATAAAATACATAATAATAACATCATAAACAATATTAATATGGAGACATGAAATTAACAAGAATTTAAACGACATGGCTCATCGATTTCTAAAAGTCGAGTTGACCGTAAATTTATTTATGATAGACCTAGTAGGATGTTTTAAATTTTGAATAAATATTCACTCAAAAGGTAAGTTATTATTTTAAAGCAATTAAATTAAATTGTTGTTGTCAACTGATAGGATTTTATATATAAAATCAAATTGATGATCCATGTCTTTGGGAATAAATGAACAATTTCATTCGAAGTCAACAAAAGTAATTACATTATTATTGTTATATATTTAACCATAATGTCTATACACTATGAAAAGCGATTGGTGTCTTTGATATAATTCTGCACTTTTGTAAAAATTATTGTGTTTATGTTCATATTAAACATATCACTACCGTACATTAAAGTTTCCAAGTCAGTAGGTATATTTTCTTTTCTAAGTTCAAAAAATAAGATATTCCTTTGAGCTGTATAATTTTTACATGACAGGAAATAATGTTGAGCATTTTCATATAAATAACCACATTGACACATTGTGTTAGGTTTAATATTTGCGTGATACAGATCCATGTTAAGGGCACTGCATTTGTTTCTTAATCTTGCGTGCAAAACATTTAAATATCTATCGCCAATAGTGAAATATGTAGGGAGTGATTTGTTTTTATAATATTTCTGACTAATTTTTAATTTAAACATATTTAAAGACAGTTCATTTCTAATACTTAAATCGAGCGAATTCCACAGTTTAATACTAGATGGAATAAATAATTCTTGATAAAGGGACAGTCTGCTAGAGGTTTGGTATATATTTTGACTGTTTCGTAGATTGTAATTGTTTGTTTCTGCAACTGTAGGGGGTATTAAATCTAATAAGTATTCTGGAGCGTCCTCTTTCATAATTTTGTAAAATAAAGTTAATTTCTTAACTTCCCGTCTTATCTTGAACTTTTCCCATCCCGTCTCTAAATAAAGTGATTGAGTGCTAGCATAGCTTGTTAAACCAGTGACAATACGTGCTGCTTCCAGTTGTAATTTTTCTAATCTTTCAGAATTTAACTGTCCGCAATTATCCCAAACTTCAGAAGAATATTCTAGAACGGGCCTAATAAAAGTAAAATATATTTTTTCTAAATATTCCCTTTTTAGTCGGAATTTCAAACGTCTAAGAACATTTAATTTTTTTGATACCTTTTCTATTAAAGAATCAATATGCTTGGTCCACTTACAGTCACTGCTAAAAATATACCTAAATGTTTGTGACTAGTAACTGTATCTACCTGAACTCCGCCAAAATCAAAAATCAAGTTATTTTTTGAATTTTTGTTACTAAACAACATGATATTAGTTTTATTGGGATTGAATTTAACTAGCCAATCATTTGCCCAGGAATTAATTTTTTGTAGATCGATATTTATCATAGATTGAAGAGTAGTTTTATCTGGAGCAGTATGTCCAATAGATGTATCGTCTGCAAACATTCTACTTAATCCAATGATATCATCTGCAATGTCATTAATGAATATTAGAAATAAAAGAGGACCCAGTACCGAACCCTGTGGAACACCAGCTTTAAGATTACCTAATTCGGAAGTCGCCTCTTTTAATACTACCCTCTGAGTTCTATTTGTTAAGTAACTTTCAAGCCATATTAACAGATTCCCTTTTATACCATATCTTTCTAACTTGTGAAGTAGGCCCCTTATCCAAACTCTATCGAATGCCTTGCTTACATCAGCAAAAGTTAAACTTGTATAAAATTTATTGTCTAAAGCATACACGATAGAATGGTACATCTCAATTAGTTGATGAAAAGTAGAGCAGCCGGGTATGAAACCAGACTGAAATTTATACAAAAGTTTATTAGAAACTAAATGGTTGAACATATGTTTATATATTATTTTTTCCAGTACCTTGCTCACGCAAGAAAGAAGTGATACCGGTCTATAATTAGAAGGCATTGACTTATCTCCATTTTTAAATAAAGGAATAACATATGCCAATTTCCAATCTTTAGGAAATATATTTTGAGAGAGCGATTTATTAAAAAGAATACATAAGGGAAGTGCAATTTCATTTTTTACTGTTATAAGCATTCTATTACTAATTTTGTCTGGACCAACAGCTTTATTTGGATCTAAAGTAGAAATAATATCTTTAACGTCTTCTAAAGTTACAGTAATTTCTGACAAAACGTTAATACCTCTATCATCGAAGTCAGGCAAATTTTTGTTTTCTTCATCTAGACTAGCTATTGAACAAAAATATCTATTTAGAATATCAACTTTTTCTTTTGCATCATAAGAAAATTCAAAATTATTACTTGGGTTTTGCATCGGTGGAATATCATTTGAAGATCTGTATTCTTTTAATAAGGAGTTTATGATTTTCCAATATACTCTACTATTTGTTTGCTTGAGTTCATTTAAGTTTTCATTAATATTTTCGTAAAAGTTTTGTTTAATTTGTTTCTTCAAATTATTCACTCGATTCCTTTGGTTTTTAAATTTCTTTTCGTTTGTAGTGCTTTTATTTTTTTTAAATATTTTCCGAAACCTGTCTCTTTTTTTTATTTCTTTACGGAGATTTGAATTAAACCAGATTTTATCATTAGATCGAATAATAACTTCTTTTTTCGGAATGATGAATTGAAAAAAAAATGCAAAGTCAAAGTGTCAAGCACTAACAAAAAATCATGAACAAATGTAAGCAAAGTTTTTCCAATCAATAACCAAGGGAAATAATCCAGTCATTAGAAATATGGGTAAACTCAGCCCATTGACAACTTGGACTAAGGCAAGACAGACTGCACAATCAAAATCATGTCGCAAAAGATAAGATGGAAATACCGACTTACTTACCCTATTTTTTTTGCCCCTGACGCCTACATTAAGTGTTACCCTTGTTCGTCCGTCCGTCCGTCCGTCCGTCCAAATGTATACAACTTAAACTGCATCAATTTTTACAGTCATGAAAGTTACAAAATTAGAACGGTTATTTATTTTGTAAACTTCGTAATGGTAAGTCATATCATAGTGACAGTTTGGTACATTTAGGAGTAACTTTTATACCTCCAATGGTGGAAGTGCTAAAAGATATTTTTCATAGTTATGTATATATATATATACTGGTATATACATATTGTTTACTCTTTTTTTCTATTTTAGAGCAAAATATAACTTGCCAAAGAACAGATACTCTGATGTATTATGTTATGACCATTCTCGAGTCAAACTGCCTGCCATTGTTGAGGGTGATCCCTCATCAGATTATATCAATGCCAACTATGTTGCTGGATACAATCAGGACAATGCATATATATCAACACAAGGTTTGTTAATAAATGAGTAATATTTTTGTTCATATTGAAAGAATTCATGCTTTGAATAATTTACGTTTGTCATTATACATGTTATATATCATGAAGATTGATAATTAATTTTTTATTGCAATTCAGTTTCCTTTACCAGTAACAAAGTTCAGTGATATAAGAAGTTTGAATTTGAGTTGAATTAAAAAAAATAACATTGTAATGAGAACAGGAAAAAGAGTGAAAAAATACAACATTAAATAGGTAGAAATTTGAGGTATTTATTTGAACTTAACTATTGTCATTGTAATTTTCACTAACTCTTAAGAGAAAACTGTGCCTAGAATGGAAAGAAGGAGTATTAATCATTGCTAATTAAATCTTGAATTATGCCAAATTAGAGTTTTGACCCCAATTTCACGGTCCACTGAACATAGAAAATGATAGTGTGATGGGGCATCCGTGTACTATGGACACATTCTTGTTATAGTTTGTTCTTATGTTGTACTGTTAGACAACTGTCCCAGGTTAGGGAAGGGTTGGCACATTCAAACGAGTTTAACCCTGCCACATTCAGTATGTGCCTGTCCCAAGTCAAGACCTGTAATTCGGTGGTTGTCGTTTGTTGCTGTGTAACATATTTGTTTTTTGTTCATTGTTTTGTTCATAAATTAGGCCGTTAGTTTTCTGGTTTGAATTGTTTTACATTTGTCATTTCTGGACCTTTTATAGCTGACTATGCGGTATGGGCTTTGCTCATTGTTGAAGGCTGTACGGTGACCTATAGTTGTTAATTTCTGTGTTATTGTGTCTCTTGTGGAGAGTTGTCTCATTGGCAATCATACCACATCTTCTTATTTTATATGTGATAAAAATTTTACTTTGCATTTACACTAATCATGATGGAAATATTTTGTAGGACCTTTACCCAAGACATTTGGGGATTTCTGGAGAATGATATGGCATTGTCATGTGATGGTCATTGTCATGACAACAAGGTATTTTTGTTTTAAATAGAAATAAAAAAAAACAATTTGCTTTCATGCAGGGACATATACGATTCCTAAAGTAGCAATATTCCAAATATTTATGGTATTTAAAACAAAACATGATTATTCAAAACTGTGAAAATATGTAGTGAGGCATTGTTATATATGAGAATGTTGAGTTGTGTAAAAGAAAGTAATGAAATAAAAGCAGACATGCTAACTATCCGAATTTTGGCAGTATCCCGATTTTCATGCCTCAACCCGAATACCGATATTGCGATCGTAAAACAAGTCGAAATCCCAATTTTCACAAAATCTGCCCAAAAAATTATTGGATAGCGATTTTGAAGTTTTTATGCCCCAGCCGTAGCGTAGGGGGCATTAAGTTTTACCGTTGTCCGTCTGTACTTACATACCTACGTCCCAAAATTGGTTTTCGTTCTCTAACTTGAGTTTGCCTCAATCAAATGTTATGAAACTTATACACAATGCTTATTACCACAAAACACAGATCAAGTATGAATTTTGGTGGTGTCACTTTAACTGTTCTAGAGTTATGCCCCTTTATGAATGGAAAAATTGCAGAATTTTTAGTTTCCCTTCTCTAACTTAAGTTTGCCTCAACCAAATGTTATGAAACTTATACATTATGCTTATTACCACAAAACACAGATTAAGTTTGAATTTTGGTGGCGTCACTTTAACCATTCTAGAGTTATGCCCCTTTATAAATGGAAAAATTGCAAAATATTTAGTTTCCGTTCTCTTTCTTAAGTTTGCCTCAACCAAATGTTATAAAACTTTTACACAATGCTTATTACCACAAAACACAGATTAAGTTTGAATTTTGGTGGTGTCACTTAAACCGTTCTAGAGTTATGCCCCTTTATAAATGGAAAAATTGCTAAATTTTTAGTTTCCGTTCTGTAACTTAAGTTTGCCTCAACCAAATGTTATGAAACTTATACACAATGCTTATTACCACAAAACACAGATCAAGTTTGAATTTTGGTGGCATCACTTTAACCGTTCTAGAGTTATGCCCTTTATAAATGGAAAAATTGCTAAATTTTCATTTTCTTCTAAATATCAAGTAATTTTTAAAATTGGAGTTATCTTCCTTTGTTCATGATTATAGTTGAATAAACTACAATCAATGCTTTATACAATGCAATGTTTAATTTTGACTTCCACTGATAAAACACAGATCAAGTTGAATTTGGGTAGTGTCACTTTAACCATTATTAAGGTATGCCCCTTTATAAATCGAAAGATTGCAAAATTTTTAGTTTCCATTCTGTAACTTAAGTTTTCCCCAACCAAACATTATGAAACCTATATACAATATTCATTACCACAAAACTAAGATCAAGTACAAATTTTTTGTTTCCATTTTCTAACTTTAGTTTGCCTCAACCAAATGTTATGAAACTTATACACAATGCTTATTACTACATAATACGGATTAAGTACGAAATTTGGTGGCGACACTTTACCATTCTTGAGTTATGTCCCTTTATAAACATAAAAATTGCTGAAGTTTTCGTTTCTGTTCTCTAACTTTAGTTTGTCTCAACCAAATGTTATAAAACTTATACACAACCGTTCTAGAGTTATGCGTGTTTACAAATAGAAAAATTGCTGAATTTTTTAGTTTCTGTTTTCTTCTTAAGTTAGCCTCAACCAAATGTTATGAGACTTACACACAATGCTTATTACCACAAAACTCAGATCGAGTTCAAATTTGGGTAGCATCACTTTTACCGTTCTAAAGTTATGCCCCTTTATAATTCTGATCAATTTCTATAAATCTATAATTTTCCTGGCGCCATATTCATGACAAGTTTACGACCCCAAGCTAATCAAAGGTCAAAACAGGTGTCATAATTTGTTGTTACAGGTGATCTGTTTATCTAATAGGTCATAACGATCCTCAAAATTAATTAATTTGTAAATAGAAACGGTCAGTCAGCATTTCAATTTTAATCAATTTATCATTCAATCACAATTTGCAATGTTTACCGTAGTTTCATGACAAAATCGTAATTAACTGAAAGACGAAAACTGTAATCAATTCATTAGAAAACATTGTTTATCTTGAAATCCGTTAATTTTTTTAAATCAGACGTGTTTCTGTCCTTACATACTTTTAATATAGTTGACCTATTGCATATAGTATCTAAGAAACAAACTTAACCAGGAAAACTTAAGATTGACCAATGAACCATGAAAATTAGGTCATGGTCAGATGATAATTGCCAGACAGACATATACACCTTACAATCATTCCATACACCAAATATATTTGACCTATTGCTTATAGTGTTAGAAAAACAGACCAAAAAACAAAAACTTAACATTGAGGAATGAACCATAAAAATGAGGTCAAGGTCAAATAAAACATGCCGGACTGACATGTACATCGTAAAATATTTTCACACACCAAATATAGCTGAACTGTTGCATACAGTATAAGAAAAACAGACCAAAATACAAAAACTCAACTTTTACCACTGAACCATGAAAATGAGGTCAAGGTCAGATGACACCTGCCAGTTGGACGCCACCATCGCCTGATCACTATCCCTATGTCGAGCTATCTGCAACAGAAGTCGCAGGGTCGACAAAAAACAGTGGACACAGAAATGCCGCAAAAATTGTAAAACTTGCAAATCTGGTCGCGCACAAAATCCCCCATGGGGATTTTCAAAAGTTGGCAGGTCTGTAAAAGTGAAGTATATTGAAACCTGATACTTGTATGTAAAAATACTTAGGGTAGCTGGGGTGTCTAAATGTGCGATGATAGATTTTTTTGTAACTTCTGTAAAAGACTTCTGGGTCTATGTACTTTCAAATTTCAATATAAAAACTTGTGTCACAGACTTTTTATTCCATTAAAATACATTGAAAGTAACGAAATCACAGTTATGTATTACAATGATGCTTATCAGATAAAAACAAGTGTACTGGTCATTTAAATACATGTATAACTGTAGGAGTTTAAACTCATTTGATTTTTTCCCTGGTCAAGTGAGGCTGTTAAAAATACAAGGGTCCCTAAGTATGTGACCTGGGCTACTTAGGTATTTATATATCAGGAAATGCTTGAATAAAAATATTTGTTATCGTTTAAAAAAAAACTAGAGGCTCTCAAGAGCCTGTGTCGCTCACCTGTATCTACTGTGGTTTTGGAAATCATGTAAAATAAGGTTAAAATCATAATAAATAGTATTAGATACCCTAATAATGATTGAGGCAAAGTTTGGTTTACTTTAGCCCAGTAGTTAAATTAAAAGCAGGTCATCCCATTGTAGTCTTACAATAGTTACTGGTGCAGAAAAATTGGTACCGTTTATGTAATTACTGAAGACCCCTTATCATTATTTAAATTAGTTTTCAAGTTGTGACCATTTGAAATTGTTTTTTTTACAATTTTCCCATAGACTTCTATAGTAAACCCCTATGTTCTATTTTTAGCAATTGCAGCCATGTTGGTTGGATGGCAGGGTCATTGGATACATCTTTCAATGATACCCTATTGAAAATTGTGGCTAAGTTTAATTCTTTTTGGCCCAGTAGATTAAGTGGAGAAGATTTTTGTTAAAGATTACAAAAATTTAAGAAAAATTGTTAAAAATTGACTATAAAGGACAATAACTCCTTAAGGGGTCAATTGACAATTTTGGTCATATTGTCTTATTTGTAGATCGTAATTTGCTGAACATTATTGCAGTTTACAGTTTATCTCTATGATATCTATAATAATATTTAAGATATTTACCAAAAACTGCAAAATTTCCTTAAAATTACCAATTCAGGGGCAGCAACCCAACAACTGGTTGACTGATTTGTCTGAAAATTTCAGAGCAGAAAGATCTTAACCTGATGAACATTTTACCCCAGATTTGCTCTAAATGCTTTATTTTCAGAGATATAAGCCAAAAACTGCATTTTACCCCTATGTTCTATTTTTAGCCATATCGGCCATGTTGGTTGGCAGACGGGGTCATCAGACACATTTTTTTAAACTAGATACCCTAATGATGATTGTGGCCAAGTTTGGTTAAATTTGTCTCAGTAGTTTCAGAGAAATTTTTTGTAAAAGATTACAAAAATTCACGAAAAATTGTTAAAAATTGACTTTAAAGGGCAATAACTCCTTAAGGGGTCAATTGACAATTTTGGTCATGTTGGCTTATTTGTAGATCTTACTTTGCTGAACATTATTGCTGAGTACAGTTTATCTCTATCTATAATAATATTCAAGATAATAACCAAAAACTGAAAAATTTCCTTAAAATTACCAATTACCCCATATGAAATATACACAGTCTCCACGCGGTTGCTTTTAACCAATCATATTCCTAGAAATGTATAGGTGGTAAGATAATGAATGATACTTGGTAAACTATTTGTAAACCAAAGAAGTTTTTTTGCAACATGCCTAGAAGAAATGCTCAGAAAGAGACACAAGTTTGGCTTGCATGTGTTCTATATATATCTCACTTGCCCAACAATGTAGAACATGTCTTATAATTGAAACAAGAGGTCCATTACTAGGAGTAAATGACTTCTGTAGAAACTAATGTATCGTTAACAATGGATATTATATGAATGATTCAGTTTTATGGATCAGTAAATGTTCCTGACAAATCAAAATACTAAAACATTTACAAGCTGAAAAATTCAGATATTGAGACCCCTTTTTTTAATTTTTTTAACTTTTTATTACTGTATAAGCACTACTGTTATGATTGTGTCAATAATCAAAAATAATAATTGGCCAAAAAAGATATTTTTATTTTTATTAAGTCAAAAAATATTCTTGTCTGAAAAGTTTGTGAATATATATGGACTCCCTTTTAATACTTTTGATCAAATCTGTTTACATTCAGTAACACAACGTCTTCAAACATATCATTGGCTGTGTTTAATTTTTATCGGTTTTACATTTTCATTTCTAGGGTTATCAACATATTGAAAGCTTATGGTTATATGGGAAATGAATATGAAGATCATGTATCTGTAGTATTCCTTGGGTCTGTGTCTTGACCCAAAAATAGAACTTGCCAATTTGATGTATTTTATGTGTGTATCTACAGGGTAGTAGAAAGAGGAAGAATGAAGTGTGGACAATACTGGCCAATGGAGGAGGAATCAGAAGAACAGATAGAGGAATTTATAGTCATAAACACTGGGATAGAACAACACCATGATTACACAGTTACTGGACTTTTCCTTCACAATACAAAAGTATGTTATATAAATCTATTCAGGAATCACCACAAATGAAATTCTGAGTATGGTATGAGGAGAAGACATCATGTTAGATGTGATTTAGTTTGATGGTATTAAAATTTTCCACTGGAAATCCAAATTTATGTCTTCAATAGAAAGAATTTTTTAGAAATTCTTAACTTTTACAAATGTCCTGAAATTTAGTTGGTTTGCAAAAGCTTAACTGTTCACCATCAGTTTGATAGTTTTATCTAGATGATATTGGAGATTTTACTTATCAAAACAAGGCCTTAAACATATTTGTATGGGAAGTGGGGTATAAAATTGTTAGCTCATCACAATTTTTCAAGTTTGATAAGGAATTTTTTACTTTGTTACTTTTGAACTTGCATCCAAACCTTTTTTTATAAATCACATGTTTAGTTTTTATGCCCCCGCCGTAGCGGAGGGGCATTAAGTTTTACCCTTGTCCGTCCATCCCAAAATTAGTTTCCGTTCTCTAACTTGAGTTTGCCTCAACCAAATGTTATGAAACTTATACACAATTCTTATTACCACAAAACACCGATCAAGTGTGAATTTTGGTGGTGTCACTTTAACCGTTCTAGAGTTATGCCCCTTTATAAATGGAAAAATTGCAAACATTTTAGTTTCCGTTCTCTAACTTAAGTTTGCCTCAACCAAATGTTATGAAACTTATACACAATGCTTATTATCACAAAACACCGATCAAGTTTGAATAATGGTGGAGTCACTTTAACCGTTCTAGAATTATGCCCCTTTATAAATGGAAAAATTGCAAAAATTTTAGTTTCCGTTCTCTAACTTAAGTTTGCCTCAACCAAATGTTATAAAACTTATACACAATACTTATTACCACAAAACACCGATCAAGTTTGAATTTTGGTGGTGTCACTTAAACCGTTCTAGAGTTATGCCCCTTTATAAATGGAAAAATTGCAAAAATTTTAGTTTCCATTCTCTATCTTAAGCTTGCCTCAACCAAATGTTATGAAACTTATATACAATGCTTATTACCACAAAACGCAGATCGAGTCACTCAAACTGTTCTAGAGTTATGCCCCATTATAAATGGAAAAAATTACAAAATTTTTAGTTTTCGTTCTCTTACTTTAAGTTTGTCTCAACCAAATGTTATAAAACTTATACACAATGCTTATTACCACAAAATAAAGATCAAGTTTGAATTTTGGTGGCATCACTTTAACCGTTCTAGAGTTATGCCCCTTTATAAATGGAAAAATTGCAAAAATTTTAGTTTCCGTTCTCTTACTTAAGTTTGCCTCAACCAAATGTTATGAAACTTATACACAATGCTTATTATCACAAAACACCGATCAAGTTTGAATTTTGGTGGCGTCACTTTAACCGTTCTAGAGTTATGCCCCTTTATAAATGGAAAAATTGCAAAAATTTTAGTTTCCGTTCTCTAACTTAAGTTTGCCTCAACCAAATGTTATGAAACTTTTACACAATGCTTATTACCACAAAACACAGATCAAGTTTGAATTTTGGTGGCATCACTTTAACCGTTCTAAAGTTATGCCCCTTTATTATTTTTATTTTGATATGCTTTTAGAAACTCTGTATCATGTGTGTAATTTGTCCTTTCAGTCTGGAGAATCTCGACACTTGACACATATACAGTTTACGAGCTGGCCTGATTATGGAGTTCCAAGAACTGGAACAGCTTTCCTAGACTTTCTCTTCCGAGTTAGAAGTTGTCAAGCCGATGCCACTAAACGCCTTGGCTCATCTTGGAGAGGTCATGCTCTTGGCCCACCGATTGTTGTTCATTGTAGTGCTGGCATTGGTAGAACAGGTAAGCTTCTTTTTTATTCTGCTTTATTTGGGTAGCTACTTCAGCTGCCACAATATTTCTTATTTAAAAAGAAGTATAAAAAATATTGGAGAGTAAACACCAAATCAACCACCAAAACTGACTCCTGCGTAACTAGACAAAACAAACACCAATCATTCACAAATGGTCCAGATAGATATTTACTAGCACAAAATCTGATGGAGTTCAATCAGGTTTAAGTGTACACAAACCTCCCCTTTAACTATCTAGACCATATTACTGAACAAGGTAAAGGACCCAATGAAAATCCTGTACAGTTCAACTACAAGTTGTTGCCTATTTAGGAGCTGAGTTTGAAAATTTCTGCAGAAGATAGGTTTCCAGAGATCACTGTTAACACCCCAGACATTGAGTTGCATTCTAAAGATGTTTTTATACCCCCGCTTTTTAAAAGTATACTGTTTTACCTCTGTCTGTCCGTCCATCCGTCAGTCTATCGATCCATCAGTCCGTTTTCTGTCCCATGAAAACTTTTGTCGCATCTTTCTCAGGAACTACATTACAAGGACTTCTGAAATTTGGCTTCAGGGTTTATATGAGTCAGCTATACCGTGTGATGCGTTTTCAGATTCATCACTCAACAACTTCCTGTTTACCTTATACTTTAGCGGGGCAGGGGTATCATTAGTGAGCAGTAGCTCATAGATTCACTTGTTTTTTTCTATTTATAACTATCTCCATGGTTTGTTATTTGAGGCTTTTGATAAGTTAAGTAAGTTTGTTTTGAAAAAAAAATAAAAACAATATAATGAATATAGTAATGAGGTCATGAATTCTAGGTATATTTGTTTTTAAATGTACACGACCATTATTAGGTTAATTAGTATCTTACAAAGCATGGCACATATTATTTTCATTTTAACACACAGAGTTGTTATACAGAATCCTTCAGATTTGAAAGGACTAGTTTAAACATGTTCTATTAATATTGAAAAAGGTAGTGTTTTGACACAAGGCACATACAAATTTTCAAGTTTATATAAGTCCATTATTTTTTTTTTCACTCAATTTTTTGGTTTTTTCATGAAAATTATCTTTCTTTCAGGAACATTTATGACAATAGATATATCACTACGCCAATTAGAAGACACACATAGGGTAGATATTAAAGAGACAGTCAGAAAGATTCGTTCACAGCGAGCCTTTGCTATACAGATGCCAGATCAGTATGTATTTTGTCATCTGGGCATTGTGGAACATGCCCTAAGGCAAGGGGACATTGAGGATTTAGATCTGGGTGGCTTTGATGATAGTGATAGTGAAAGTGATGAAATTTGACATCGTTTATAGAGCTTTACCTCATGATCAACTGTCTATATGTTGTTCTTATTTTGATATATAAGATGTTGCTTACTAAGCTACCTCTAAATTGAGGTCACCTGTCCTAATCTGACCAATCTGTAATATCTGGAGATATTCTCATAAAAGACTTACTTGTAGTTAAGGGACATTAATTTTTGATAGGTCATATGAAGATCTAGTGAATCCCAATTAGGTGTCATGTTCAGATAACCTATTAAGTTATTTAGATTGAACAGGATTTTTATCATCTGAATCCTTTAATTATTTTATTTACCTTTTATGAAACAGCTGATAGAGATCAAAAGTGGAAGAGTTGAAATTAAAAAGATAAAATGGTATCCAATAGGTTGTAAAGTACATAAAAATCTTGGGTTTTTTTTCTTCATTTTTTTTTACAAATTAACTAACATATTGTAAAATCTAATAAAGATTGAGAAATTACATTCACACATGATATCAGGTAAATAAAACCGTAAAAGACACTGACTCAAAATGTTTAGTGTTACTCAGTAAGATGCATTAACATCACAACTTTGTGGTAAATACTTTATTGACTTGCAAGAGTTAATTCCCCTGTTAATTAATGAAATAGACCTCATTTACCATGTTTCTTACAATATTCAATTTTCAGTAAAAATTTAAACTTATAAATATATAATATATTTTTACATTTATAATATAGTTCATAAAAAATTATTTTGAACACAAATGTCCTCAAAAGGAATACTATCTTGACTCTTGTTGGTGAAACATTGGGTGTTAATAAATTATAACTTGTAATTTTCTCTCAAAAACAAATATGGTAAGGACACAGAGTTGGATGCTATTTTAAATTGGTGTAAAATGTATGGTGCCATTAATTATATATGTTATAAAAAATTGTAAACTTTGAACATAGACATGAAAAGTTAACTGAATTCTTGATTTTTTTCTCATTTCTAATATGATATACTTTGAATACTGCAGACAATGTATGAATCCTAACTATAACCTGTAAACTGTGCATAGAATGACACAAAATAAACTTAATTTGCTAGAAAAATTAAATAGATGAACACCATAACTAACCTTGCTTATAAGATCAATATATAAATATTTATATATAATTATATTAATCATATTGTGTCACAAGTGAAAAACTGTAATTCTACAGAACAAAATCTGCACTTTTTTCATAAAAGGTAGATGAATCTTTTGATCAGTACACAATTATTGTTCATTTTATATGGAATGTTTTACTATTATACACTCACAATATGGTATGCATGTACTGATGTTTGTGCAGTTGATGTTGTGTTATTGAAAGCACATAATTATTTATATTATTATTAAGAAATTAATATTTTCATGGTTTTCTCAAGAATATTTTGGGGAAAATTCAAAAATGGACATTAAAAATGTAGACCCCACCAGATTCTGAGAAAAGACAAAATAAGGGAAGGTTTTTTTAAAATTTTTATTAAATCTGATTTGTGAAGCTAATGTGTTTTGTGATGTGTCTATTTGTTAGTCTATTTTCAACTGCTCCTCAACCATTGACTGGGTTTCAATGAAACTTTCAGAATGTTCTCAGTATTCGATAACATTGTGCAATACTTATTTTGAATTTTTGTCCTGAATGATAAAAAGGGAATTCTTACTTACTGATGTATTAGCATTACTCTGGAGGCAGTAACAGTATACAAGTCATTACTGTTTCTTGGCTATCACGATATAAACGACTGGTTCTATCAATTAAAACATCCAAGTAAAAGTTGACTGATGTTGACTGTTTTGTTCTGACAGTTATTTTAGGGATTTTATGTATTTGGCTTCCTAAAATATTGATCTCAAATATACTTGATAAAAGTTGCTCCAAAAAATTGTTTTGAAATTGGTAGCATACATTCATTTTGAAGATATTAATTTTATATTTTAAGAAACATACAGTCAAATTTCATATTAGTAAAGTCGGTTAAAAAGTATATAAAAAAATTAATATTTTGGATATTATTCAGTTTTTGAATGGTCAATTACTTTTATTTGTATAAAAGATTTTATAGAAATATGCAAAAATTAAGAAGAAATAACACAAATTAAGAACTTTTTTTAAGATACATGATTGTAAACTGTTCCAAGAAATGTTTTAGAAGTATATTGAAGGTGTTTGTTTTGAAAATATACTAAGAATTATGAAAAAGCTAGGCGGAAAATGTTGTCTCCTATATAGGTATGTGTACAGTTACAGGTTTTTCACTAAAATTTTGTAAGGAAACATTCTTCTTTTGCTATATCTGTTGTATGTGTTTTATTTATGGCCAGTACACACATATTTTTGTTTTAATATTTAAAATAATGTAAAATTATTCATTTTTGTATTGTCAATTAATTGTTTTACATTTATACAATACCATGTCAGAGGTATTTATTAAATAAATTTTTTTTTTACATGTACCAGTATTTTGAACTTAAATGTATGTCAGACGATTACATAAGTAAAATTGTAAATTGCAATTGTTCTAACTGCACAATTTTAATTGATGTAGTGAAATAATATTTAGAAATAATATCTTTATGCTTATTATTTATTTCAGTGTTGAAACATCTTTTTTATAGAAAACTTCATATATAATGTTTATAGATTTTTTTTCTCAGATTTTGGAGAGTGTTCTTTTTGTAATTAAACACATGAAAAAAACTTATTACTTGTAATTTTGAAAATGTTTTGTTTACATGAGATCTTTTACATTCACATTTTTTTTGCTAGAAATGCAGATCTGTTGCAGAGCTGTCTAATTAAAACTGGAGGTTTAAACATTTTCAGCTGGAGTTTTGGCCTATTTACTAGAAATTTTTATCAACATTTTTATTGTTGTTTTTCTGTGTTGATTTTGCTATTGAATTATACATTTCCTATTTTTATACGACCGCAAAAAAATTTTGTGGTCGTATATTGGTATGACGTTGGCGTCGTCGTCGTCGTCGTCGTCGTCGTCGTCGTCGTCGTCGTCCGGCGTCGTCGTCCGAATACATACTGGTTTTCGCACTCTAACTTTAGTTTAAGTGAATGGATCTTTTTGAAATTTGACCATAAGGTTAAATACCACAAAAGGAAGGTTGGGATTGATTTTGGGGGTTATGGTACCAACAGTTAAGGAATTAGGGGCCAAAAAGGGGCCAAAAATAAGCATTTTCTAGTTTCCAGACAATAACTGTGGAACGGTGTATGGATCTCTCTGAAATTATACTATAAGTTTCCATACCACAAAGGGATGGTTAGGATTTGCTTTGGGGGGTTATGGCTCAAACCGTTTAGGAATTAGGGGCAAAAAAGGGGGAAAAACAAGGTTGTCCTGGTTAATGGACAAATACTTTTGTACAAAACATAATTTAAAGCAGTGTAAGGGAGATAAATCAAATACATCATTGAGATTATCTCCCTTACACTGCTTTTAAATTATGTATAAAGTAATGGTTAATGAACAATAAAGATAATTTAAAACAGTGTAAGGGAGGTAATCAAAATACAACGTTTTGGTTACTTCCCTTACACTGCTTTTAAATTATGTTTAAAGAAATGCATATCTATAAAGGAAGACCAGTAAAAATATCTGCAAATGTTGCATCTTTTTTTTTTACAAAAAAATCCATATGAAAGATTTGACAGTATATTTTTAATTCTTTTATAAAATAGATTAAGTTAGCACTATGGTAAATTTAATTGGGTAATTATGGTTGCCAACTCCATTGGAAATTTGAATTGAGATTATGACCATATCTTGAGGGAAAGAATTTTTTGGGGAAAAAGGGGGGAGGGATAAAAAGAAATTGTGGGGGGTCAATTTTTTCTCATTTCAGATTTCAGAAATTAAAAAGAATTATTCTTCAAATATTTTTTTTTTTTCAAATTTCAAATATTGAAAAATTTCAAGAAGTAATCTTTAATTGCACAGTATGGCGCATTAGATTTGTAAAATCTTTGATCACATTTATTTATTTGTTATGCCGAATCTAACAGTGTATTTAAATTTTTAATTTTGGGTCCAGTTTTCAAATTGGTCTACATTAAGGTCCAAAGGGTCCAAAATTAAACTTTGTTTGATTTTAGCAAAAATTGAATATATGAGGTTCTTTGATATGCTGAATCTAAACATGTATTTAGATTTTTGATTTTTTGGCCCAGTTTTCAAGTTGGTCCAAATAGGTGTCTAAAATTAAACTTTGTTTGATTTCAACAAAAATTGAATATGTGGGGTCCTTTGATATGCTGAATCTAACCATGTATTTAGATTTTTTATTTGTGGACCCCGTTATCAAATTGGTTCATATTGAGGTCAAAAGGGTCCAAAATTAAACTTTGTTTGATTTCATCTAAAATTGAAGTATTGGGGTTCTTTGATATTCCAAATCTAACCGTGTATTTAGATTTTTAATTTTTGGTCCTGTTTTTTAAATTTGTCTACATGAAGGTCCAAAGGGTCCAAAATTAAACTTAGTTTGATTTTAACAAGAATTAAATTCTTGGGGTTCTTTGATATGCTGAATCTAAACATGTGTTTAGATTTTTGATTATGGGCCCAGTTTTCAAGTTGGTCCAAATTGGGGTCCAAAATTAAACTTTGTTTGATTTCAACAAAAATTGAATATATGAGGTTCTTTGATATGCTGAATCTAACCATTTTTTTAGATTTTTGATTATGGGCCCAGTTTTCAAGTTGGTCCAAATTGGGGTCCAAAATTAAACTTTGTTTGATTTCAACAAAAATTGAATATATGAGGATCTTTGATATGCTGAATCTAACCATGTATTTAGATTTTTTATTTGTGGGCCCCGCTATCAAATTGGTTCATATTGAGGTCAAAAGGGTCCAAAATTAAACTTTGTTTGATTTCATCAAAAATTGAATTATTGGGGTTCTTTGATATGCCAAATCTAACCGTGTTTTTAGATTTTTAATTTGGTTCCCGTATTTTAAATTGGTCTTCATTGAGGTCCAAAGGGTCCAAAATTAAACTTAGTTTGATTTTAACAAAAATTGAATTCTTGGGGTTCTTTGATATGCTTAATCTAAACATGTGTTTAGATTTTTGATTATGGGCCCAGTTTTCAAGTTGGTCCAAGTTGGGGTCCAAAATTAAACTTTGTTTTGATTTCAACAAAAATTGAATATATGGGGTTCTTTGATATGCTGAATATAACCATGAATTTAGATTTTTTATTTGTGGGCCCCGCTATCAAATTGGTTCATATTGAGGTCAAAAGGGTCCAAAATTAAACTTTGTTTGATTTTATCAAAAATTGAATTATTGGGGTTCTTTGATATTCCAAATCTAACCGTGTTTTTAGATTTTTAATTTCAAGTCCCGTTTTTTAAATTGGTCTACATTAAGGTCCAAAGGGTCCAAAATTAAACTTAGTTTGATTTTAGCAAAAATTGAATTCTTGGGGTTCTTTGATATGCTGAATCTAAACATGTGTTTAGATTTTTGATTATGGGCCCAGTTTTCAAGTTGGTACAAGTTGGGGTCCAAAATTAAACTTTGTTTGATTTTAACAAAAATTGAATATATGGGGTTCTTTGATATGCTGAATCTAACCATGTATTTTGATTTTGGACATTGGACCATAATAGGTAAATTAAAAAAATTCAAGTTCTTAGACCACATTCTTTCTGTGTCAGAAACCTATGCTGTGTCAAATATTTAATAACAATCCAAATTCAGAGCTGTATCAAGCTTGAATGTTGTGTCCATACTTGCCCCAACTGTTCAGGGTTCGACCTCTGCGGTCGTATCAAGCTGCGCCCCAGCGAAGCATTTTATTGTAATCTTAAGATTAGATCAGGACCAATGTACATTATTATAAAATATTCTCTTAAACAAGATAAACGTAGAACCTTTACATTTGTTATATTGAAAATTACAAGGATTCTATATCTTTCCAATCCTGCATTTTTAGACCTATTTAAAAAATTAAAA